TTAAGAGACTGGAGAGATGGTTCAGCGGTCAGAAGTTCTGGCTGCTCTTCCCAAGGGTAAGATCTGTTTTCCAGTATTTGGCAGCTCCTAAGTAACTGTAGCAGCAGCTAACAGGATGTGATGCCCTCTTCTGATCTCCAAGTGGTGCATAGGCAAAACAGCCGCACACATAATTAGAACACTTAAGAGTGCAAGATGTGCCTATTAAAAATGCTTTCATTTTCTCCCATGGCTGGCAGGTGCGGAGGACAGGTCTGGCGTCTCACCGGTTTGTTGAGGGATGCACTCAGCCAGTCAGACCTGCGCAATCCAGCTCCTCACCCCACCTTCTCGCCTCCTCTGCTTTGCCCCCTCTCCTGATGGAGTTAGGCTTCTAGGCGTTTCCTGGCTGGTTGACAGGACACATAGGAAGCTCACATCATTCCTTCCAACTGGGCTCCAGAAACAGATAGTGGCTTCCTCAAACACTCCCTAGTTCTCTTTCCCTCCCCCTCCCCCTCCTGCTCTCTCCAGATCCCAGCCACTAAGAAAGCCAATCAAGAGTCTGCTCAAGACAATGCCTACAGGCTACATAAGACCTCAGACCTGTGTGCTCGGTGCTCAGTGCTCTCTCCCCTGCCTTCCTTGATCCCAGCTCCTTCTCTGGCTTCTTGGGTCTGTGATGCCACAGTGGGGGCTCAGGTGTCACTGTCCTCATATGCACCCAGCTGCCTCTGGAAGGAGGCCCTGGGTGTCTGGAGAGCAAGGCCAGCCAACTTCCTGATCTTGGGGACACCTCCTGCGGCCCCCTCCACCCTGCTCTGAGCCCCGGCTGGCTTTCACCTTTGGCACAACCAGGCCGGCCAGCTGGGCCCCTGCCCACTGCCTCTGCCTTCCTCTTGGCCTTCAGCGCCTGGTCCAGGATGGCTGTGGGGTTGGATCTCGCTGCTGCCCGTGATCGGGAAGGGGGAGCTTTGCCTTCTGAGTTGGAATCCTCCAGAAGCCTGCTGTGTGGAGCCTCCTCCTCTGGCAGAGTCGCAGTCTCCTGCTCGCCTCCCTTCTGCCGCAGTGGGGCAGTCGCGCTGCTCATGTGACAGGCGGTGTCGGATTCCTTGTGTGCCCGCTGCTGGTTCAGGTCCTTCAGCTCCTACAGGGTTTCCACCACCTGGAGCTTCCAGTGCTTCATGTGGCCCTGGCTCCTTCTGTGCACGCTTCTCCCCCTCCTCCTGGAGTGCGACCTGGAAGTTGCCTGCGGCCCCACGCTCCATGCTGTAGTCCATGTTCTCCGGGTCTGTCTCAGGGTGATCTCAGCCCAGCAGCTATAGAAGTGGAAGATGGGCAGGAGATAGGCAGGCCTCATTCTGGACTGTTTCCTCTCCTGTATTGAATTTCTTTCCTCGTGTTGGAGGGGGGCCATCAGCTGAACCATGTATTGCTGGTCCTTGGGTAGCTTGAGTTTGGGGCCTTTGTTGGGAGGAATAGGTATGTAGTATTTGTTTAGAACTTTCCCATCCAGACATCTTCGAATCCTGGGCATCACACAAGAGAAGGAGGAGTTTTTGGTCCTCAGAGTTTATCCGACCTGCTGCAGTCCTCTTGACATCACTTTCTCGGCTGTCTTATTGGCTGTTGCTTACAGGCTTTGGCATTCTTGTAGGCCACGCCCTCTGTCGATCAAGTCTCATGTATGCATTCCCTTCCTGAGTGCTCACCAAGTCACACCACACAACAACCTCATACTGGAGATTTTATTGGGAGGGAAAAACCAGAGGATACTGGAGGTCCTTGGGGGAGGGGCCTGATCACTCCTGCGACTGGAGGGGCTTATACAAGGCTCTACAGAGACACTCTTGTCTTGAAAAAAGCAAGAGAAACAACAAACCTCCCTCCCCCAACCAAAACAAACAAAAACAAAAGTAACCCTCTGCAGTAGCTGGAACGTACCGAAAGTGTTCCACATTTAGGTAATGGGAGCACTTTTAGGGACAAAGTGTAGCTCAGAGTTTTGCCCCAAGTTATAAACCTGTCAAGAAAGCCAATCTGCTATTCTATGTAGACAATAGGGTTGTCCACACATAAACCGTTTCAGCACTCTGGACACATTACATACACAAACACTAATAGAAACTGATGAGCACGGTCTGTCCATAATTTCATGTTACCTACTCCTATGGATATGCAAAACAAATCCTTAAATAACCCTATCAACTGCTAGGCAGTGGTGGCCCACACCTTTAATCCCAGCACTCCAAAAGCAGGCGGAGCTCTTGAGTCCAATCCAGCCTGGCCTACAGAGTGAGTTCCCTGACAGGCTACACAAACCTGTCAACTAGGTCCCAAGTCTGTAATCACTACCAAAGGAAATGGACAACATCCCGAGCAATAAAACTTCATGGTTTTTAACTACAAAACTTGAAGAAGGCAACTTAAACCAATGGGCTCTTTGGCACCTTACTTGAGAAACTGATAATATATTTGATGGATGTAGTTTCCCTTCTCTCTCTGAGGTGTTCATCTTATCTGGTTCTAATTTTACTTATTATGCTTAGTTCTAGAAAATAGCTCACAAATTTAGGCACTGCCCAAAAGTGATGCCACAATTAAGGATTTTATTTTTTGAGTCAGGGTTTCTCTGTGGAGCTCTGGCCCTCCTAGAACTTGCTCTGTATACCAGGCTGGCCTTGAACTCAGTAATCCGCCTGCCTCTGGTCCTGCATGCTGGGAATAAAGGTGTTCGACACCACCACCCAGCATTAATTTTGGCTTGCTGTAATTTTAGTTTGATTTGGAATGCTACTGTAATTTAAAACACTGATGGTAAGCTGGATTTCACCTTGAAGATCCATGTTTAACTCATTTAAATGTGAGGCCAAATGAGCTATTATAATCAGTTTTCATTGTCAAGTTCTGGCACATACCTTATTTCTAATATCATAAGCAACTTGAAAGCACGTTGCAAATCATAAAATATTTTCAGCGTTTGTAGCCTGGAGAGACTGACTCACCTGCTAGAGGTTCTTACTGCTCATTCAGGTCAGGTTCAGTTCCCAGCACCCACATAGTGGCTAACAATCTTCTGGAACTCTAATTCCAGGGGATCTGAGCTCCCTCCTCTGGTTCCTGGGCACCGGGCACACACACACACACAACACGATACAAATACATACATGCAAACACTCATAAAATCCAAAAATTACATTTTCAGTATCTGGCCACAATTCAATCATGGTATTTCCAAAAAGTAAAAGATGTTGACATAGCCAGCATCAGTACTTTAAAAAAAAAAAGATTTTATTTGCTATGTATGTGTGTTTGCCTACATATATGTATGTATACCACATACAAATGCAGGGCTCTCAGAGCCTGGAAGAGGAATTAGATCTCCTGGAATTGGAGCTATAGATAGTTGTAAGTCTCTGTGTGGGTGCTGAGAACAGCCAGTGCTCTTAACAGCTGAGCCTTCACTCTAGTCTGTCAGGATTTGTAAGTCACTGTATTACTATAGCTCTTCTGTGATATGTAAAAGTTGGTACAAGTAACCAAAAGTCAGACATCAGCACAAAAGAACCACCAGAGACTGACACACACTGGAGCATTTCCATTTTTCCCTGTGAAGGAGACGGTCCCACTGGACTGTCTGATTGTCACAGTCTCCTCTTTTCCCAGCCCACAGACAGCTCCCATTACTCCCTGCCCCTTTGCATCATCTCTTCTTAGATGACTTTCCACTTGCCTGGCTCTTTTCTCCTTAGGGCGTCTGGGAGGAGGGCACAGGGCATCAGAGCTCATGGCACACTTGCAGGATTGGCAGCAGGGCTAAGGCAGCAAAGCGACTAGTGTCAGGAGAGAGATGTGTTGGAGCAAAGTTCACTCCCTGGACAATGTTCAGCAGCTGGAATAAAAAGCCCTTTATCACAGCAAAACCTGGATCACACAAAAATGCCAAGAAGTACTCTGAAAAAGTGCTTTCAGACTTCACTGTACAGTTTTTTAAACAATTTATTTATATATTGGCTTCTACATGCTTTTACATTTATGTAAAATATTTATACATATTCTTTACAATTTGTACATATATTAAATGGTTGTGTCATAAACACGGTTCTATGGAATTTTATAAAAGAAAAATCAAGTAGGGGAAAATTACTTTAAAACATAAAAACCTGTGATATTGAGGAACAAGAAGTTCTCATATTCATGTTCACCGGATTTTCTCAGCTACTTATTTTTGGTTTCACTTATTTTCGTTGGCCCAGACGTCTCGTTCTCTCTAAGATAATCACCAGGTCAGGAAAGCAAAAGCAGTGGATCAAGTCTAAGGCAACTGTGGAGGAGGACCGCCCTCTGCAGGAGGGAGGCAGTGTGTGCTCTTGCTGTCAGCCCATGAGGCAGGATCAGGAGTGTCTGATGGTGGGGACACAGCCACAGACTGTCACTCTCCGTTCACCATCGGCCGCACATCCTTCAAGCAGTCACCCGCTTCAGTTCTTTCCCATTCTCTGGGGTGGGAACAGGAGGCCACCAGCACCTCTGGTACCATCGGCACCTCTCCCTCGGCTGGTGGACAGCTGAGCGACGGAGGGTGGCGGGGTGGGTACTTGGAAGAGAGGCTGACTGGTCCTTTCCCCCAGGAGCTCCTTGGCATAGCAATCAGTGGGCTACCCACCTGGGGTGGCGGGGACAGAGCCCTCACCTTTTCTGACTTGCTCTGCTAGCATAAAACATGCCTTACCGTGAATTAGGAAGGAGTGTGGAGACAGTGCCGAAATTGATGTAAGTGCAGCACAGGAAAACTGACCCCGGGGGCAGCAGTGCCTAGGAGGGGTCTGCTCACACGCTCTGCCCACCAAATGGGACCTCTGGTGGGCTACCCACCACGCACCTTGAGGGTGCAGGCCATCTGAGACCCTCTCTGCCCACCGTCCCCTTTGTGAGCACTTGGATTGTAGCTATGCCACTGGAGGGAGTGCAGATTTCTCTGGGCAGACAGGGACCCCAAAGGATTGAAAGTTATAAAAATATACAAAGATATATTTTTTTATTCTGGCATATTTCGTATTTTTAAGAAAGCAATTAGTATTAATTATCTGACATTGGGCAGAATGGAAGATCATGGGTAATGTATAAATTACGATTCTATGTAAAATACCAGGAGGAAGAACCCCTATTTCTCCATTCAAAATCTTGATAAATTTAAGTATTTTCAAAAAATAGACATTTTTCATTGGGTAACTAGTATGTGTCAAAATGAACCGAAGAAGGCCATCCTTAAGTAACTCTTCATTTAGGCTGGCGAATGGCAGAAACAGAACTGTGTTAACTTATTTCCTTTTGGTTTTCTTCCTTTCTCTCTCTCTCTCTCTGTGATAGGGGAAAATGGAATTGCACTGGCCCAGGACAGAGGAAGCACTTCGGAGTTCACATTGTGTTCTGTCCTGGTTTACATGACCGGGAAGCGGCCGAGGGCCTGCCTCAGCTTTTCTGCGATCTGGTGAGAAAAGAGAGCAGTTGCGATGTTACCACCTGATGACAACCTCAGTGTTCTAGCCGCCCTCCTGAGCTAAACATTACAAACTTGTCAGATACTCAGATGGCCTGTCTGTCTCTTCTGGAGACACTGGGACGACCTCTGCCACCACAGCCCTGCTACTCAGGGTTTCCCACAGTGTGTGGACAATCCTGCTTCCCGGCCCCACCTGCCCATCCAGGTCCATGGCCAGACCCTGCTATATGACGGGGGCTGCATTTTCGGACTAGCCCCTTCTCTTACAGAGAACAGGATGATGGCTTGGGCTACTTTCCCTGCCCTGAGTCCCTTTCTTTTCTGGACAAGAATGATCACTCAAAGATTCCTTGCTTTGTTACTACATGGTATGTGGAAAGTCTGCATTCTCTGTGAAGCCCAGCATGCACTGCGAATCTGTTATGTGCCTGTACCTCCCATAAAGACATTAGGTGCCCCCTGAAGGCTCACGTTCCTCATTCATCTTAGCACCTTAAACATGTGCAGTAGGTGCTAAGTATACAGTAGGTACTCGTGCATTGCTTACTCCATGAACAGAAATGTAAGGGTTTTTTTTGTTTTGTTTTTGTTTTTACGAGACAGGGTTTCTCTGTATTGTTTTGGAGGCTGTCGGTCCAGCCCCACCTCGAACTCACAGAGATCCGCCTGCCTCTGCCTCCCAAGTGCTGGGATTAAAGGCGTGCGTCACCACCACCCGGCTATAGAAATGTAAGTTTTAATAATTTATATTTTGATATAAGAGTTGATATTAATATAAAATCCAGGTCCATTATATAAGCCACTTAAATTTATGCCAAGACAGTGACAAAGTACATGTTTTTCTATTTTGAATTACAAGGTCAATAATTATACATGTAGGGGCTGGAGAGATGGCTCAGAGTTTAAGAGCACTGGTTGCTCTTCCAGAGGTTCTGAGTTCAATTCCCAGTAACCACACGGGACCAGGCAGAACATTATATATATATAAATAAATCTTAAAAAAATAAGTATACATGTATATTTGATAATTAACAAATCACAATGTACCCCTTCTTACTCAGAAGCACAGGTCACAGATGGATACCAGTGTATGATCAAGGTCACTGAGCATGAAGCCTTCTCTCCTGGCGTGCACAGGTTTGGCTGGGAGCCACTTACCGTTTCATAGAACTGTACTTGCTGCTCCAGGTAGAGGCGGATGACGCTGTTGTAATCGTAGATCCGGTTACTGTGGAAGTGATTCATCTCAGCTACAACAAAATTATCCCAGGGATTAGTTCCCAGCAAGATTTCGATTGACAACATGCGATCTCTCTGCTTGGGTAAGTCAACAAGACTTGATCTGGCTTCTATGCATGCCAGTTCTCGGAACAACTCTGTGAAGAGCCTGGAAACAGGCAGACACCAGCAGCAAGCGCCACTTTCTAGTAATGGATGGCCGTCATTGATTAGCGTGCTGAACACTGCTGACAGCCTCCAGTCTGCCAAGGCACATGTGTCACCCTTCACCAAACACAGAGACAGAGGCCATTTACTGCTCTTGTCTGCTCTTACATACGCAAATCTCTAGAAATCAGCTAATGCTTTCTTTTTACTAACAGTAAGGCATGCCTAGACTGATTCCTACAGTCCTGGGGCACAGAGGTGACAGACTTCTGGAAGCTGAACTTTGGAATTTAACAGAACAGTATGATAGTAAAGGCTAGTAAAGGGGTCTTGATGTCTCCAGGAAGTAATAAGATGTACAGGTCTAACCAAGCTGTCACAGCTATTCCAAATCTGTCTGTAAAATAACATGCTACCCGTAGGCGATCAGGTCACTGAGGCTCACACTTGGGTTTAAGGCTGCGGGGTGGGGTGGTCACGGCCTTTCTCTTACCTTGTAAAGCATACGACATGGTGCCGACCCGCTTCACCATCGTCTGCTTGTCTTGGGGGGTGATCTTACTAGTTGCAACCAGCTTATCACTTTCTTTTACTTTTTCTATTGCTCCCTGGAAAACACATACATGCGACAGTATTTAAGAAGACAAGCTAAGCACTGGCTGAAGACACGACAATGCTGACATTCTACAGACTTGGTACTGAAGAGGAAAGCACTGCGACACTAAGGACAGAGGGAACATCAGCTCCTGAGCCAACTCCATTCAAGTCTCTCGGGAGCAAAGGCTGCCACTCTTAATGCAATAGCACTAGAACCTGCAGTTTTATGCACCAGGAGAAGAGAAACAGACTGTCCTCCGTGTAAGTCTATACTGCTGGTGTTTCAGGAGTACAGAGGAGACCAGGCATGGTGGTCAGAAAGCCACATGCATGTAGCAGGTACACAGTGCCCGGAGCGTGTCCTTTCTCTCCTGCTAGGAAACAATTCCATGGGTTGCTGCTTGAGTGTACACACTGGTTTTATTCTACTTTTGTAGGAGGCGCGAATGAGTTTCAAGTCCTTCTCAGATGGAAGTAGCTGTAAATGCTGCCAAGGAATCTCATTCCAGCACCACTCCACTGCTTGTTATTTGTGGAAATAACATACCATGTAGCAGGGAATCTTTGAGTGATCATTCTTGTCCAGGAAAACCTCGACCTCTACTGGTAAACTAGGCTCTGCGCCTAACACTCCACTCTGCTGCTGTATAAATTCTGACCAGGACGACCCTCCTGGGTGAATACCCGCTACAGTACTAAGTTAGCGGAACTACACAAAGGCTGTTTATGTGTGTTGCTCTTGCAGACTCTTCCTGCAGCAGCACTAAGATCACAGAACAGCCCTTTGCAGAAATTTTCCTAATCAATCCAAGGACCCTCAGGACACTAAGAGCACCACAGAGACTCTAGGAGGAACTAGTAACAGGGTTAAAACATGAAGATGTACCAAACCACCTTTTCAATTTAGTTTTAAAACTTTATGGTGGGAGTTATAGCTTGCTACTACTTCTCCTTCTTTTTGAGATGGGGGCACCTCATTTTGTAGTCCTGTCTGGCATGGAACTTACTTTGTAGACGAGGCTGGCCTTGAACTCATGTAGACCTGCCTGCCTCTGCCTCCTGGCTGGATTGCAGGCTTGTGGCACCACATCCAGGTAGTTTCTTTTTAAACAATGTGTCAGTGCTGCACGCCTGGCAGCTCCTCCTAACACTGGCCCTTACCTTGTGAGCGCCGATGATGTCTGGGAAGCATCCAAGAAAGCCTTTGTACTCGTGGTTGCACTCCATCAGGAAGTGCAGGTCCTTCTTTGGCTGTAACAAGACACAGGCTGCCTGTTACTGGTGGAGGAATTTTAAAAATCAAGGAGAAGAAACTGAGGAGCATACTCTTGTCCCAAAACTAAAAGAAGCGCCAAACTCCATCCTACTTTTTCCTGTCTTTTTGTCGTTTCTACCCTAATCCCTGGCTTCTCTATGGCTAGCTCTGGTCAGCTAGTCTTTGACTCTGCCCCAATTCAAGGTTAACTTATTAACAGTCTTGGAGGGTCACAGTGTGACCGAATGTCCTGCAACAGTCTGATAACTGATAACTGATGTGGGAGGGCCCAGCCCGGCAGCCCCATCCCTCGGCAGGTGGTCCTTGCTGTGTAAGACAGTGCGAGCCACAGAGTGAGCCAGCGAGGAGCCTCCACGGTTCACGCTTAGGTTTCTGTCCTCACTGACTGTGACATGGAAGTATGAGCCAAATAAATCCTCCCCTTCCCAAGTTCCTGTTGGTCAGAAATTTTTTTTTCTTTTTTACGTACACAGTATTCTGCCTGCACACCAGAAGAGGGCACCAGATCTCATGACAGATGGCTGTGAGCCACCATGTTGTTGCTGGGAATTGAACTCAGGACCTTTGGGAGAGCAGCCAGTGCTCTTAACCGCTGAGTCATCTCTCCAGCGCCCCCCAAAATGTCTCATAACAGCAACAGAATGCCAACTAGAACACTCAGTGTTAAGCATTTAGAATTAGTATTCCTAACTAAAAACAATCCTGGGGGGGGGGTCCCACAAGTATTGAAGAACAATCTAGGCCATTTAACACAGACCCAAACTTCATTTAGATTTTTTTTTCTGTTGTCTTTTTGAGAAAGGATCTTACTCTGTAACTAAGATCAGCTCAGAACTCACTATACAGCCCAGGCTAGATCTGAACTCAAGACTATCCCATACCCCAGCCTCCCAAGCTCTGGGATTACCGGTATGAGCTACCACACCTGGCTTCACTGGAAAACACATCATCACTAAATGAAATTAACGGGAAGCCACAGAAGCAGAGAAGAGGTGTCTAGCTGGGTTTACATAACGGACGTGGGTTGGGAAGTGTGGTTATGGAATACCTGCTCTGCCACGAGGCTGGCGATCTCCTCGTATGTCTTCCCAGCTTCTGTTATTGCATCGTTCAGATCTGTTTCCCCTGAAATGAATTGCATGACATCTTGTAAGCAACTAATATTACAAATATTTTCTTTATACTTACAGGTTTTGATATATACTTTATTGATAGCCTTTAGAAAATTTAAAACACCGACAAAATTGGCTTAACGAGATCTAGAATCAGTTTCTGGTTAACCCTGGTTTTCACACTACCAGGAGTGAGTGTGATCGTCTCTGCACTGTTCTCTTCCTCACCCACTCACTCTTCGTTAGCAGCTTCTGAGGGAGAACCCTTTCTTTGACAAGCCTTTGCTTACTATTGGGTGTAATCTGAATTGGGAAAGCAGCGTCAACGCCTGGGTCCTTTACAGTTTCAGAACCAGACAGAGCCCATTGTCCCTCACAGTAACTGGGATTAAATTACAAGTAAATTAATAACTCTGGGTATACAAATATGTGCTATGTTAATAACTCCGGGTGTACAAATGTGTGCTGTGTTAGTAACTCTGGGTGTACAAATGTGTGCTGTGTTAATAACTCCGGGTGTACAAATGTGTGCTGTGTTAGTAACTCTGGGTGTAGAAACGTGTGCTAGGCTTCCTTCCATGACAATTACTGTTTTCACCAGTGTAACCCAGCTTTCTTCCTTTGCCCAGGGGAAGGCCCCTCAAATGGGCATCTGAGGCACCTGGGCCAGCTGCGTAGCTCCTGGATGTAGGACTATCCTCAGGCTTTCTCACGATTCTCTTACCAAAAGCATGTCCATATGAGACTCCCCAAGACTACAGAATATTCATGGTGGGAGCGAATGTAGCAATTCTTACATTGTCCTACTATAACCACCCACATGCCAGGGATGCAGCAAAAAGATTTGTTTGATGTAATTATGACAGCCTTGGGACTCAAGCTCATTTACAGGATTGCAGGAATAAACTCTATAGCATTGAAACTGTGCTCAACAACACTGACCCACATTTTCCTGGAACAGACGCCCATCTAAAGAAGCTTGACTGGCTTTAAAAACAGCAGTTTTAGTAAAGTGAATGATATTCAACAAAAAAAAATATGCTGAGCATTTTTAATACTTGCCAAAGTGCCATATGCAATATAAATACCCATCCCCTACTGACTGACGGTGGTGCCAGCCCAGAAAACAGGCAGCTCTCTGTGCTCCACCGCTGCTACAGAGACCTCACCTCTCTTCCCTCTGCTCAGGAGGTGTAAGTTCTAGTGCTCTAGATAACAGCATGGCAGCCAGCTCACCAGAACCTGCATGGACACTGTGGGCTCCACACGAGAGGACACGAGAAGCACGTCACGGCTTACGCTTAAGGAATTCTAAGTTGAGCAAACACCCCTTACCCCGATATGTTCACCATACAACTTATACAGGTACTGAAGTAATTCAAGAATGTGGACAGTTTTTATGTGCTTATCAGCAAGGGAAATTATAAACAAATACATACCTTGGTACCCACTGGAGCTGAACACTGTTGCTAAACTCTGCAAGGCCTTCCCAATCTTCTGATATTCCTTGGGCAAGGCTGGAAAAGAATTGCAAGCTAATCAGTCCTCAGAGCAGGCTGAAATACATCCCACAGTTCCCTGGCGGTGACTCATAATAGAAGACATCCGAAATGATTTAGAATAGTGCCTACTCCTTGATGAAATGACTTCTCAACTAATGATTTCTTTAATAATTTTTAACTGATTGCTCAATTAGCCACCAGTGAGTGGGATTGTGAACAACCCATCCCCACACTCATTCACTGGATAGGGCAAAGGAAGGAACCCATGCTCAGGACTCCTGCTCCAAAGCCCTTCGTGTGCGTGGTCATCACAGCAACCCGGACACCAGACTCACCATCTCCAGATGGAAGGTTTGGCAGATACAGCTAAGTGTGTCAACAAAGCTTCACCTATGGGATGTGAGGACTTGCTAACTCATCCCAAAGGTTCTGGGCTCAGATTTCAGGGCCACCCTGGAGAAGCTACAGAAGTCCTTAGGCCGCCATGTGTCTGCACAGACCCCCTCAGAAGGCACCTGTGAACTTCTGAAAGAAACCACTGCTTGACCTCAGCCTCAGGGTAATGTCAGTGATGTTTACTCTGGATATATCATCTGCCTGCTCCCTGGTTAAAGACATTCATGATATTTACACATACAGTTTTCACTGTACAGCTTAGAGGTTTGGAAAAATGTAAACAAGAAAAGAAGGTGGCAGCACATGGCTTTAATCCCAGCACTCGGGAGGCAGAGGCAGGCAGATCTCTGTGAGTTCAAGGCCAGCCTGGTTTACAGAGTGAGTTCCAGGACAGCCTCCAAAGCTACACAGAGCAACCCTGTCTCAAAAAAAAAAAAAAAAAAAAGAGCAAAAACAAAGGAAAGGAAGAAGGTATCACTGAGTTAAACTGAACAAACAACTTCCTCTCTCCTCCACCCCCAAAGGACAGCCTTGTGTCAGTGTGCTCCTTGCTGAGAAATGTGGTTTGGGTTATGTAAGGCACAGAACTTCGAGTCATCAGACAGAAGGGATTTGATTCTATCAGAGAACATCCATATCAACGGTTTGCTATCTCAGCCTTCTGCAAAGGTGCCACTAAAATAACTCATTCCTTTTAAAGTCGAATTATTTATTGATATTTCTCTTCTCTCGCTCCTGTGTCAGTGTCAGGGACTGAGGTCAGGTCTCCCCCGCGCTGGGGAACTGCTCTGTGGCACACTCCCTTCACTTACAGAGGACGGTGTCTCTGCAGGCTTCACTATTCTATCCCGGACACCACGGCTGCACAGTTCAGGGGACACAGGACAAAAGCTCAGAACATGACAGGCCACACATCAAGGACAGGAAGAAAGGAAGAAATTCTTAATCCTAGGGAGGGTGAGCAGAGCCACGGCTAAAATATCATGTCCCTCTGAAGTGGCCTAGTCTGTCTTCATATTTTAGTGTATACATATTAATATCGATCATACTTTCTACCAAGTATGTAGGCTATTTCCTAAAAACTATGGCTGTAGTCAAATACAGCACATCCTAAAACAGGCACAGAAAGACTAAAAGGAAAGTCATGAGCTTGGCCTCATGTCACATGCTTCTAAGTGTGCTACTTGAGACCGTGCCTTAAAAATTAAAGCAAGCAAAACAAAACCAACTACACAAGACGTACTCTCTAAATGCAGAAAGATTAAGTTTCCTGAGGTTACAGACTCCAAAGATCCAGCATTGAACTCAATTTAGTTTAGTTTTGTGTTTATAACGCTTCTTGGGCAGCCTTGTTATGCTCAATTTTCTGGTTGCACCTGGTATTGAGAAGTGAGGCCGGGGCAAGGGTTTGAGGTGGATCTAGGCAGCGCAATCCAGGCCCTCGTGTGTGGGACAGGTCCCCGTGAACACATGTGTCACGGCTGAGTCTGGGGGAACAGCACTTACGCCCCGTGCACCGCTTCCAGTGCTCCTGCCCCACCGTGAGCAGCTCCTTCACGCCGTCATCCATGGCCTTGGTGAACTTCCCCACAGCATCGCATTTCTGCTCTCTGGGACCAGAGACAGCCATCAGTCACATCAGTAATGTCAGGGACAAGCACAATACCTAGATTGCTTCAGGCCGTGGGTTTGATCCCGAGTGCTGGCACAAATGATTTCTGCTTTGCTGGGCGCTCCAAGGGTGCGGGTGGCTGCTGACACCTTGCCTCGTCACTTTATTAATGATAACTAACATTACATCAACAATGAAACAGAGGGAAGCAGTGCTCAACAAGCTATGCCGGGACCTCTGTGGACACCATCTGACTACAAGCTCCACTCGGCTAAAATTCCGTTCGGAAGATGTGAACTACAGCGGCTGCAGCCCTGGGCCAGACCATGAGCCAAAGGAAGCATGCGCAGAAGCATGCGCAGACTGGGGGGAAGGAGAGTCAGGCAGTGGCTTACATTTCTATCAAGTCCAAGTCGGGAGCCTCTGGTTCCATTGTGGAAAATATCATGACTCCCACCAGCTCGTCTTTCTCAGCCTTCCTCTTTCCAGTTTTCCATTCCTAGAAGTAAGAACACGGCGGCGTTACAGCTGCCAGCAGGGCCGACCTGTCCTTCCAAATCCCTGAGCAGCAGCAGCAGCTGAGACCCTGCTTCCTCTTTTCAGGAAGCAGCGTGTCCACCCTGCACCCTCAGCGCCACAGGCTGATGCCTAGAAAACCACAGTGTCACCGCACAGGCTGTTCTCGGGAGTGAAGACTCAGCCACATTCCTTCTGCAGTGGCTTCCAACATAAGAAGAGAATGTATATACCCTCCGTGAGACTGACGACATTAACTGCTTTAACCCTTTAAAAAAAGATGAGGTTTTTTATGTTATATGCATGTACAGTGCCGCTGAGTACAAGGGCATTAGATCAACGGACCTCCATTTTTGAAATAGTGTCTCTGGGGCTTGTAGACTAGGCCAGGCCGGCCTGCCGGTGAGCTCTGAGATCCACTCTTCCCTGCTTCCTCAGCTCTGCGATTACAGGAACCTGTGCCCAAGCCTGTTCTTCCCCTTTGAGTTTCCACATATGACATCTTGGGTCCTTTTCGAAACTTCTGTCAATTTTTCATAGTCTTACAGATAGGCTTTTTGTGTATTTTCTCCTATTTATTCCTAAATATTTGATAATTTTGAAGTTGAAAGATTTTTTAACCTAGTGATTTGATGATAAAAATGCAATGACTTTATCCTTGATAACCACTTATTTCTAGCGATTCTAGGCAGTCTCAGGGGTTTTCTTTGTTCCCCGTTATGTTAGCTACTGACAAGCAGAGAGCATCCCACCACTCTCTAGTCCTGCTAAGTCTCTGCTGGTGAGGAATCTTCGGTCTCACAAGGATAAGGCTTTACCAGGCTCATAGCAACAGACAGGAGAGAAATGGGGCTGGGGTGGGGCAAGTGGGTGACTCCAAGTTCATTCTTTTCTACCACTTTTTCGTGAACTGTCAACGCTGCAAGGCAGCTTCATGTGAAACAAAGCAACCAATGTCTAAGATTTACTCTTCTTAAGCAATCTGTAAATGAATCGCTTCTCCAAGGCAAAACACTATGAAGTTTAGCAAGGACACCTCTCTCTGAAGGTTCCAATGGGAGATCAGGTATTGCATGAGTTCACTAAAGACAAAAATAACTTAGTAATGCTTTCCCTGGGTCACACTGTAGCTAACCATTTCTCTGCAGTGTTTTATGAAATCTGCCACGTTTGTTCTCTGTAAAGTTACACAGAAAACATGGAGAATACATGGAGGCACCAGCAAGCAGCTGCGCAGAGGGAGCAGGCAGAGAGCAGCGTTTACTCTGGACTTAGGACCTCTGCTCCTGGTAGAGGACAAGGCTCTGGGATGAATGATCAGTTCCCACTTTTCCCACAGGGCACCGAGGCACCAGAGCTCACACAGCCAGTGCTCCCTCTTGAGGCCCACTTTCCAGGTGTCTCTCTCTGTCTCTGTCTCTGTGTGTGTGTGCGTGCGTGTGTGCGCGCGCATGTGCCAGCACACATGTGAGAGGCCAGAGGAGGGTCTTGGGTGTCCCACTCTACCACTTTCTGTCGGATTCCTCTGAGGCCGTCTTTCTCTGACCCCAGCAGTCAGGGAGCTCTAGCGTTCCGTTTCCACGCCACACAGTGCTGCGACAGTGTGTACAGGTGGGGATGTGAATTCAGGTCCTCATGCTGTGCACCAAGTGCTCTTTCCCAGCCCCCACGCCCATTTTAAAGAGCACTCTGGAAAACCACTCCGCATCGAAGCACACTCTTCGCCTGCGCCCACCCACGCAGCACTGACGTCCCCAGGGGACAGAGCCTGCCCCTGGTAGTGCATCCCCACAACACACTTCCTGCATATGAGATAGGTTCTTGTTTTGGTGGGAGGACTAATAAAACAAACTGCTCTGGCTCCTGCCAGAGGTGAGTTCACTGTGAATGTGCCAGCACCCACGCCCCCGAGACCGCAGGGCTACACCTGCCTTCTCATCCCGGAAGTTCAGGAACTGCTGGAAAACTTCACTCTCTGACACCACCGGGTGCCGGCACATCCTTGTCATCCACGCCTGCAGCCGCTCCATGCGCATCTTGATGAACTCCTCTTCAAAGCGACCTAGGGAAGAGTGACATGCAAGTCTGACAATCGCAAAGAGAATTAATTATCTCACTGCAGTGTGTGTCTGTACAGTGTATGTGCGTGTGTGAGTATGTGTGAGTGTGTGTGTGTACAGTATGTGTATGGCACGGATAGACGTGTGTGTGTGTGTACAGTGTATGTGGATGACATGGATAGAGCGTGTGTGTGTGTGTACAGTGTATATGTGTGTGTGTACAGTATGTGTGTGTGTGTACAGTGTATGTGTATGACATGGATAGAGCGTGTGTGTGTGTGTGTACAGTATGTGTGTGTGTGTACAATGTATGTGTATGACATGGATAGAGCGTGTGTGTACAGTATATGTGTGTGTGTACAGTGTATGTGGATGACACGGATAGAGCATGTGTGTGTGTGTGAGTATGTGTGTGTATGTGTGTACAGTGTATGTGGATGACATGGATAGAGCGTGTGTGTGTGTACAGTATATGTGTGTGTGTGTACAGTGTATGTGTATGGCACGGATAGACGTGTGTGTGTGTGTGCAGTGTATGTGGATGACATGGATAGAGCGTGTGTGTGTGTGTGCAAGAGGGTGCATGGAGGCAAATGACAACGCTGAGTGTCTTGTCCCAGCACTCTGCCTCATTCGTCTGAGCCACGATCTTTCACTGAACCTAGCGCTGGGTTTACAGGCAGCCACCTGAGCCATCCCCCTCTCTCCACCCCGTAGTGCTGCAGAGATGGCCTGGCAGCCAAGAGCGCTACCTGCTCTTCACATGACCCCAGCTCACTCCCCAGCTCCTACATGGTGGCTCACAGCCACCTGTAACTCCAGCGCCTCTCATGGGCTCTTGTATCATGCGCATATATTATATACACTCAGGTGCCCACACGTCCGCACACACACACCAATTTTATAAAAATGAAATTCCAATTTAAAACATTAACAAATAATTTAATGTTGGCAAGACTAGCAACAACATTAGCTGCAAACATGTTGCAAAGAACTATCTCAAAATGGAAAACTGTCTGTAGCTTGGAAACGACCCTTACGCTGGTTTCTGGGCAGGCACGTGAAGCTTTATAGGCAATGAAGGGAGTGGTTAGTGGAAATTGCTGCGCCGTTCTTAGGAAGTAATGACAAACATGTCTAACTGCAATGTAATACTCAAGTGCATAAGTGCTAAACACTTGCACTCAGCACGTAAGAGGCCCTGAAGCCACACACACACACCTGTGACCCAACACACGGGGGCTCTCAGAGCACTGGGAGCTAGTGGCCAGCCTAGGTTACCCAGAAAAACCTTACCTAAAAATTAAAAAGCAACCCCTGCCCCCCCACACACAGGGGTGGGTGTGGTGAGAGTTGGGGTGCATGTGTACACTCCCTGGAGACTGTAACTTTGTCTGTCTGTGTCTGTCTGTCTGTCTCTCTCTCTTTCTTGCTTTTAGCTTTGTTTTGTTAATTTTTATGTGTGTGAGTATTTGCCTGCACATATATCCATGTGCCACATGTGTCTCTGGTGCCCAAGGATGTCAGAAGATGGTGTCAGATCCTTTGGGACTAGAGTTTTTGGGCAATTGTGAGTCACCACCTGAATGCTGGGAACCGAACCCAGGTCCTCTGCAAGAGCAGCAAGGGTTCTTCACCACTGAGCCAGCTCTCTAGCCCTTCTATTTTGTCTTGTAAAGTTAAATGGCAAAGACAATTATCCCTTGACATACCTACCCCAGAGCTAACGGCCACACTAAAGCAACACTTATTGAGTTCCTGTTTTAGTACAGAGCTTGGCAAGCATGACACAGCCAACATCAGCATCAAATGAGTAGAGACTTTATGCTCTTACCAAACAAACTCAGTATCACCTGAGAGCCTAAGGAGGAAACTCTGACACAGCCAGGTGAGGACCTCAAGTAACCCTATCCCAAGAGTCAGTATGAAGCCGTACAATGGCAACAAAAAAAGCACAGCTGGTTCTGGAGACGAACAGCTCCTGACGAGCGTCCGCTGGGAAACTGCTCAACTTCCCCGAGAACAGCGAGAATGTGTGGCACTCCATCGAGGTGTCTAAGTCACTTGCTCCTGCCCAACCAGGAGACTGTTCACATGCAAGAGGGACAGAACAGAGTCTTGGTAGCAAGCGAGGCACAGTGTAGTCCCAGGTGCATGGCAGATTGAGGCAGCAGGGTTACCTGAGTCCAGAAGTCTGACACAAGCCTGGGCAACACACTAAGACCTTGTTTCCAGAAACAAACAAAACTCCCCTAACAACAAAACAAAGGACCAGGAGAAAGAAAGGCTGGGGATAACTTGAAGGGATCGGAGCTCTGAATTCCTTCTTCTATTTATAGTTACATCAAGAGAGGAAAGAAACCATATTGGCACAGGCTCTGTCTAATCAATCCCAGGCGTCCTGCCAGTCTATGTGGAGAAGCAAATCTTAGGATGCCAATCTTAACCAGACAAACACGAAAACAACTGAGCTGCAAGACAGGCAGCGTTCTGAGATTCTGAGATCGTACAAGGCCAGTTCCTATGCAAACAAAACACCAACAGCAATCTTTGGGGAGGCAACAGCAGAATCCACAGCTGCTAAAACAGATTCTCAGCGAGGGCCAATGTTCATTTAAAACAAAAACAAAACAAACACACAGACCAACGAAAAAAATAACTAGAGCTTGGCAAACAAGATGCAAGATAGGATCTGTGTTGAAGAAAAAAAAGTCAGTAGAGATTGTTACTATGTGTAGCTAGATACTGAATTTAGCTGACAAAAATCAGTTTCTGTAAATATTTGAAAAAAACTGTAGAAAAATTAAAGGGCAACGTGACAGTAATCAACAACAGAGCCCAAAAGAGACAGTTGCAGAAGGACCTGGGACAGAAAACTCACGTCTGCAGCAGCAGGGATGCAAGATGGCAAAGGCGGGGTCAAAAGAGCCCCCCACTCAGAGAGGAAAACACAGAAGAGCCCCCCCACTCAGACACAAAGAGAGGAAAACACAGGCCAGTGTCAGCAGTGGCCAGGTCGGGGCTTGTGTGGGGAGAAGAGTTAAGGGCTGGCTTGTCCTGTGGACAGCAAAGGGCAGAGGGAATGGGAAGACGCTGGCTGTGCAGCATGGAAAAGTAACAGCTGAGGCTCCATGACCAGCAAACCACCCTTCAAACTATCGGCAGAGGGGTTGAGAGATGGCTGCGTGGTTCAGGGCACCAGGTGCTCTTCCAGAGGACCTGGGTTTGAACCCAACATGATGGTTCGCAACTATCTGTAATCCCCGTTCCAAGAAATTCAACGTCCTCCTCTAGCTGCTGTAGGCAAAACAGTCATAGCCATGAAAACAAATACATTAAGAAAAGAATCCATCAGTCTGAGGGTGTGCACTATCTGATTTAGTGACAGCAATCAGCACAGTGTAGTTCTGGCAGGAAAACGAACAGCGTATAGACAAGTCCAGAAACAAATCACACAGACAGTCACGTGAGTCTGTACAAAGGGCAGATGCAACTTCACAGGGAAGGAGTCTCTCTGGGCACCGGGGGAAGGGGTCTCTCTGGGCACCGGGGGAAGGGGTCTCTCTGGGCACCGGGGGAAGGGGTCTCTCTGGGCATGGGGGAAGGGGTCTCTCTGGGCACCGGGGGAAGGGGTCTCTCTGGGCACCGGGGGAAGGGGTCTCTCTGGGCACCGGGGAAGGAGTCTCTCTGGGCACCGGGGGAAGGGGTCTCTCTGGGCACCGGGGGAAGGGGTCTCTCTGGGCACGGGGGAAGGGGTCTCTCTGGGCACCGGGGGAAGGGGTCTCTCTGGGCACCGGGGGAAGGGGTCTCTCTGGGCACGGGGGAAGGGGTCTCTCTGGGCACTGGGTGAAGGGGTCTCTCTGGGCACGGGGGAAGGGGTCTCTCTGGGCACGGGGGAAGGGGTCTCTCTGGGCACCGGGGAAGGGGTCTCTCTGGGCACCGGGGGAAGGGGTCTCTCTGGGCACCGGGGGAAGGGGTCTCTCTGGGCACCGGGGGAAGGGGTCTCTCTGGGCACGGGGGAAGGGGTCTCTTTGGGCACTGGGTGAAGAGGTCTCTCTGGGCACCGGGGGAAGGGGTCTCTCTGGGCACCGGGGGAAGGGGTCTCTCTGGGCACCGGGGGAAGGGGTCTCTCTGGGCACCGGGGGAAGGGGTCTCTCTGGGCACGGGGAAGGGGTCTCTCTGGGCACCGGGGGAAGGGGTCTCTCTGGGCACCGGGAGGCAAACGAGTGAGCACCGCTCCTGCGTGCTTACAGTACAACAACCAGCCACAGATACATCAGCCACGAACGCAGAACCTCAGACCTTCACACTTTCAGGAAGATGTATCCTGAAATGCAGTTAACCACATGCTTCAGATCCAACAGCAGGAACACAATTCATAAAACTCGGTGTGCTGGACACCAAGGCTGCATGAGATGCCTCTCGTAGGCGCTGGCGTCGTGGACTTGAGGACGCTGGGTTCACTTGGGTGCAGTGGGTTACGCTCTGCTCTGCTCTTCTCTGCCAGGCACGGTGAAACCTCTACCACGTGAACCCACCTTTCCCCTTTAATTAAACTGTCTCTTTCAGATACCTGTGACTGCAAGACACTGACTGATTTCTTCAAATTAATGGCTTTTGCTACACATTGTCTAGAGAACAAAGGCAAGCTACAGTTGGAGCAAGCATGTGCACATCACACACCCGATGGTCAACTGTTTCTAGAACATACAGAACAAATTCAGCAATAAAAATAGACTAGCAAATTTAAAAAGAACCAAAGTTTTGAACAGACATTTCACCAAAAAAGACACTAAGTGCATGAGAAGGTACTCTACACAGCCCATCAGTATGGAATGAAAACAAAAACAAAACACACCACTACATGCCTATAAGACCGGTCAAGCAAAATCAATGAAAAACTGGACATTACCAAGTACAGGTAAAGATGTGGACTCATGATGTCATATATCACTGATGTGGATTCCAAAATCAGCCAGTCTGACAAACTCATGAGCACAATGCAAACCAACTGATCTATTAGTTCTACTGGTGGGAATTTACCCCAAAGAAAATTTGCTCATGTTTATATAAGAATCTGTTTGCTAGACTGCATGTCATAAAGTGTCTGTAATCATAGTACTGAGGGGCTGAGGCAAGAGGAGTCACTTTGAGGCCAGCTTGGGTTATGTAATGAGCTCCTGTCTCAAAAACAAACAAAAGTAAGAACAAAATATCTATACTGGTGATGCTACAATTACCTGGAAAGGAAGTCCAAATTCCTTTCAGTGAATGAAAAGGATAAAGAATTACAGTGTATCTACACACTCTAATAACAGCAATAAGGGAAAGTTACTGATCCAACAAAAGGAATGAATCTCAGCTCCACTGTTTCCATTCATCATGGATTCCAGAAAAGACAAAATTACTAACTTTTTTAGGGGTTTTTGGGGGGGGTAAGGTTTCTCTGTGTAACAGTTCTGGCTGTCCTAGAACTTGCTTTGTAGACCAGGCTTGCCTCGAACTCACAGAGATCCAAATGCTTCTGCTTCACGCCGGCTGGCCGAACCAGCAGAATTACAGCCACTAAGAACTGATCAGATATTGTCAAGGACAGGACCAGAGGTAGGAGTTGAAAATAAACACTAAGCACCATGACGTTTTGGGAAGCAACAGAATGTGTTACAAACACAGCTGTGGTTATAAGACTATAAAAGAAGTTATCAATCTGTAGGACTGTACACCAAAGAACTTACCGCATGTAGTCTAAAAGTAAATTTTCAGAAAATGCAGCCTCAACTTTCCTCCAGAAGTGTATTCATGAGTAAATCTTTCAGTAAGATGAACAGTGTGGCACATGAACACCATGGGTCTCACCCAAAGCCTCTTGGGTCTACAAGCACTTCCATTGCACACTTAGTAGGGAGCCCAGGGCTGCTGGGAGGGAGCACTATGTGAACACTGCAGCGTCACCCTCAGGACTGCTGGAGGGAGCACTATGCGAACACTGCAGCGTCACCCTCAGGACTGCTGGAGGGAGCACTATGCGAACACTGCAGCGTCACCCTCAGGACTGCTGGAGGGAGCACTATGCACACACTGCAGCATCACTCTCTGCTGGGAGAGAGCACTATGCACACACTGCAGCGTCACTCACTGCTGGAGCAGAGCAGCACTCTCCATTCCACTGTGATGAATATCAAGTTAATCCAAGCCCAAACGACTTCTTTTAAAACTAAAAAAGTTTATCTCCACAAAACAACAAAAAGACAAAACAAAAGCCTCCAGAGGAAACTAAACAGAAAACAATGTAAAATATAAAGTTTTAAGGAGAATGACTTACATATCTTGAAGATAATAATTCTAGCTAAAGGTCCAATCTCAAAACACAAACATAGGAAGCTTCAGGATCAAACACAAACCCCTGCTTAGTGGGATAGAAGAGCCTGCTGGATGCTTTGGGGTGTGTTTCCCCCTGTGTACTATGAAGATAAGGTGCCTGCCTGTAAGCACAGAGAAGAAGGCACCCAGGGCTGGCCCCTGGGACAGGGCATGCTACAATGCTGAAGTCTCACCCAGGCACTGCCATCTGGCAGGTTGAGATGATTTGTGGTCCCTCCCTAAGTTCCCCAACTCTTACTGAGACCCAAGCCTTGTTTGGCCTTCTTTTTGGGAAGGGCCTTGCTTCCCCCCAACCACTCTCCTTGTCCAGGGTCCTTCTAGATCAGATTGGCTAGGCCTCACTGTTGCCCCCAGTCCATTCCTTTCTACGTGGACTGGTTTTGACATGTGAACAGTTTCTACCTATCTATGGAAACTCTCAGTTTTTGGGAGGCTCAGCCTCTTTATAAACACTGTGTTCTAAGTTATGATCACTGAGTCTTCAAACACTCAGCCCTGGTCCCACACTAGAGGACTTCCGTCTGAGATGACAGTTTCAAAGGACTGGGACAAACAAAACCTTTCTGCCCAGATGTACAGGGGGTCTAGTGGCAGGTGGATTATTTAGCAGAGATTTTTTTTTTCAGTTTTAAAAGATAATTTTATTATTTTAAATTGTGTGTGTGCGTGTGTGTGCGTGCATGCGTGTGTAGGTATGTGCACATGAATTCAGGTGCCAGTGCAGACAGAAGCTGGAGTTGTGAGCGATTATGAGGGTTAGAACTGAAGTTGACTCTCTGCAAGGGTGGTATACATGCCTAACTGCTGAGCCACTCTCCAAAGCTTGCTTACCAGAAAATTTTTGGAGACAGGACAAAGTGGAAGAAATGTGACACTTTGAAGTAAACAAGAAAAGGGAGAGGGTATGAATGAGTCGTGAAGAATTCTCCATCAGGAACAACCCAGAAGCTCTGGCTTCTCTGTGTGTTCCCCATACACAAAAGAGCAAGGCGACAGAGCCTGTCTCCTGTCATTCGGGTCTCAAGCTTTTGTTTTCATTTTAGGCTGTTCAGATAATTTCTATTTTCTCCGGTTCTGTTTCTCAGACTTAAAAAATGTACTTTTTGTGGTAGAAGGAAATAAAGACAATGACTTTTCTGGAATTCAAGGTGTGTACACAGCTCTCGGATGGCAAAGTTTGCCAGAAGTTTCTAGTAGATGTTCAGGCAAGTTCTACATTTGTGCAGTCTCTTCACAGATATTAGTGACTACCTGTACTCTTGCACACCAGGAGGATAACAGAGCCAGCTCTCCACCCATCATTTGATACAACATTGCCCACACTCACCTGTCACCTGCTTGTCTGGAAGAGAAGGAATCGGAATGGCAGACCCAAACTTAACTAGGAGACGCTCATACAACCAGTCAAAGTGCTTATATCTGTGGTTTACAGATCGATTAGTGTTCTGCAAAATAAGAGGAAAAAAACCAAAAACAAAGTATTGCCAATGCCAAGTACTGAAATGGAGAAAGAGGGAGAGGCAGCAGCTTCATTTAGGGCAGGTACTCACGGTAGGTGTTAGCTGATACTCAATGTAGCTCTTCAGACCATACATTTTTGAACCTTTCCGGGGATCTGCTACCACACAGTCAAAAGTAGAGGTAGGATAAACCCACATTGGGCCATAATCTCCAACCTAAACAATGACCCAGGACAAGTTAATTCAGTATTTTCTTGGGAAAATGGTAATACAATCACAATTACACAGAGAACGATTCCTTTCAGAACTGCAGTCCTATGGCAGTCAGTCATTTTTGCTTCTATGGCAGAAGGAAGGACTGGTCTGTGGTTCTCATAGTCGTCGTATAAAAAGCGCAGTTGTTCAGATGAAGCCATCCATCTCTTCCACGTGGGCATCTTGTCTCAGGATGAAGAGACACTGGCTTACATCTAGGGGGCTGAGTTCAGAAGCTCTGTTTCCCTTAGACCACGATTTAAAGCTTAATGTGAAAAGGGACTTAAAAAATAAACTTTCAACGCTGACTGTTTTGTCTGTGTATGTGAAACAAAAATTTATGTATAGGATTTTGCCAATGACATTATAGTCTCAGTTTGTATTCGCACTCTCATCTGGTTTTTAACTAATTACAGGGCTGACTGGTAGAAGTTTTCAAATAAGCAACTGGTCTGTGACTAATGCTTGAAGCAGAATTGTGTTAACTTCAAGACAGTACGAGCCTGGCCACAGCCTGATGACAGCCACTATTTCAGCCACAGTTAGAAGTAAAAGAAAAGGAGGAGGACCAGCAGATGGGCTGAAGAGACACGTGTGAGCTAGAGTTCCACAGCAAGGCCAGCAGGTGCAAGGGGACAAGAATGTCCATGTCATTCTGTCCAGAGGTGGTGGAGGGACTGCAGGATGGGTACAGAAGCCCAGGCACGGGTCACTAAGGAAGGTGGCTGAGGACTGGAGATGATTAATAAGGCGCTGAAGAGGTCTCTAAGAATACACAACTAAGCTGCCCTGGGGGCTATGTCCCAGAGGCTCTGCTAAGCCTTCAGGACAGCAACTGAGGACCCATTGGGAGCAGCAATCCTCTGTGAAGAGGACAGAGAGCAATGGCCTGGTCCCCAAACTTACTAGCCCTATGCTATGAGTGAGCAATGTTACTTTTTATCCTAAGCATAAACTGGGTCTCTGTCTTGTCTTCACTCCTGAAGACTCAATGGCTTCCCCATGTCTTTTGCTATGTGACAAGCTGCAGAGACAGGCCAGCCCACAGGGCACATGGGTCTATCTGCCAAAACTCATGGACAAAGCACAGGCTGGACTTCATGCTCGGCTCTACCATAGTCATGCCTGTGACAAAGTCACATTAACATGTGAGGGACAAACCATGGACTCTTAATTCCATAGAGTTTTAAATTTAATAATGTATGCTGCTGCCCCACACCCAGCCTGGAACAAAAAACACAACAAAACAAAAAGATTCAAATCTTCTCCTTCGCCTTCTTTTTTTTTTTTTTTTTTTGAGACAGGATTTCTCTGTAGTTTTGGAGTGGAGCCTGTCCTGGAACTCGCTCTGTAGACCAGGCTGGCCTCAAATTCACAGAGATCCGCCTGTCTCTGCCTCTCGAGTGCTGGGATGAAAGGTGTGCACCACCAACGCCCAGCTCCAATCTTAAATCAAACTACTCAGAAGATAACTACACAACATGCTGTGAGAACAAAGGCTACAAGAGGCTTTGGGACACTGCACTTCTGTTTGATGGGTCCTAAGACTTTAAGCCTTTTACAGATGAGGAAAAGTAATTAAAGGATCCATTATCACGGGCAGGTGTCTCCTTGTGCTTGTTTACAGACATGCTGATTCCATCCAAGGACTCCATCAGCTACAGGTTAAGTCATTAAGGTTACAAAATAGTCATAGATCTTTTTCCCCCTAGAATTTCACCTAGACAGAAATGTATTAACAATCAAAGTATGGGATGAAACGGAAGAGCATTTGTCATATTCAATAATCATTTCACCAAGACAGATTAAACTGTTAATGGTGTCATTAACTCCCAGATTTATTTGCTGGCCCCTTAACTTGAGCTGACAGCTGTTTTACTGGAAGAAATCCGATTGCCAGGGTATTGGGGAAAGCATCTTACCCTAATGACATGCTCTTCTTTCATCAGGGTAGAAACCAAAATATTTGAACTAAGCTTATTGGATAAATAAATAAGGTTGGTAGAAAAAAAGAACTAAAATATGTCTTATAGTCTAAGACATTTTAGAAGAGAAAAAGTGTTCAAATGTATGAGCGATGGTTGAACATTAAAGGTTAAAAGATAAACATAGAGAAAATTGAGAAGCAGTGACAATCATTAACCTATATTGACTATCTTTAGCACTCCTGATAACATGTTATCAACATGGGACAGTAAGCATGTTTAACAACACTTCCAAAAAGACTAACGTTCTTAGCTCAGGCATTATAAAACACTTTAATTAGAAATAAAACAGACATGAACAAACAAACTTACAATAATGGGGATTTTCTCTTTGGGTTTTGCTAGCTGCTTGGCCAACAAGTACTGTTCCATGCCAGGCTTTGCAAATCCAGGAAACCTGATCATGAAGATAAGTACAGTGAGTCTCTGTCCTTCTTCCTACAAATTCTACAGTTCTCATCACGAGACCTTAACACACCAGTTCTAACCTTGTTCTGTCTTTAAGATGGAAACCGTGAAGTGTAATCAGGTGGCCAACGGCCAGTTAGGCTCTCAGTGAAGCTTGGGCAGGGGAAAGAGACTCCAGCAAGTGTGGTGTTCACGGGTATTCTGCCTGCTTACTCAAGTCTGACCCAGCTACTATTACCAGTGACAGAGGGAAGGACAGACATAAAGAAGTCGCTCTGCCCCCCAGGATGCCTATTTGAGTTGGTTACATAGAGCAATGGCCACTTGCTAACACACCCACATCTATGCAGAGTCAGTAATTCTTAGGTAAACAGCAATGTATTAATTTTTATCATCATCAAGATGTGTTCTCATAATGTTCCAGTATATTAGACTTTCAGCTTCCTTTTCTGGCACAAGGTTTATGTTCTAGAGCTAGACTGTGGCTAACATATCAATGAATCGTTGGAAAGCTGTGAGTACTTAAAAATACATACGAGTGTGTGTGCGTCGCTCCCTGCACCATAAAGAGATGGAAGGCTTGGGGGCACAGGTTCAAATTAGCCCGCTCATTTGGTTTCAGCCTGGAATGCCACTTTAGAGTACAAAGAATCTTTAAGCCAGCCTCTTTGCTTCAGAGATGAGGCGACTGGGTTGAAACAGGCTAACAAACCTGGGAGCAAGTGCTGAGCAAAGGGAGGGGAGGAGCTCGACTCCTGTGCTGGCCAGGAAACTCCAGCGGCTTGTTTGTCTTGCTGGCTCTACTTTTCAGAGGACCAAGAGACAAACCACATGTAAAAGGCTTTACGCTTATTTTACATTTAGGCCGAAAGAGCCACTGGGAGCAATGTCCACCACAACCAATCCTAGTGAGGACGCTGTCTGTAGTCTGGGAGATAAGCAGGCAGTGATGGACATAGCTAATTTTATTATGCACACAGCTGAGCACAAAAGTCATAATGGAAGAAACTGGAAACACAGGAAAGTGTGTGGTCTAAGAGTTCAATCAACCCCCTGCTATTTAGATAGACTATGGAAGCCCCATTACTCAAGGTACAAGCCCTTGACCCTAATCTCTAGATATATGCTCCAAATTCAGGAGATCACTGACTAGAAAAAGGTAAAACCTCTCTTACACTGTGTGTGTGTGTGTGTGTGTGTGTGTGTGTGTGTGTGTGTGTGTGTGTGTGTGTGTGTGTGTGTGTGTGTGTACACTGCTCCCCTTTAAACTTACTTGTTAAGGGGCAGCTTCATGGAAGAGGCGCCCGGACGGCTGTTTCCTCGCTGGATGCCCCCTGCTTCCACGGACTCTGAATCCTTAAAGTAAGACGATGAGGACTTGGGGTCATCCCAGTCTTCGTCCCACTCATCATCATCGCCAGTTGCTAGCAAGAAAGACAGCACAATGCGACTGCTTAAGCTTGGGTAACAGCTGCTTGGGCTAGCCAGTTTTCCAGGAGCTGTAAAGCAGAGGCCAGGGCTGCCTGTGGATCTGAAGAACACAGACTTTGCAGCCAGCTCAAGGCCTGGCCTAGGGATTCAGCTTTTTGGTTTTTATGCAAAAGACAAATCAGAACTAGGTTAGATGAGGCAATCAGGTTAACAAACTCTTTACAAGTGCCTCAACGAACAGGTTCTTCAGTCAGTGGTGCTGGGAGACTGGATGTCCACACCCAAGAATAAAACCTGGGCCCTTACCTTACAGCATCTAAAACAGTCAACAGAAAATCATAAAGCCGCCAGAGGATAACGGTGAGGAAAATCCCCTGACATGCCCTCAGCTCTGTGTTTAGATGTCACATGGAAGTCAGGGAACTGAAGCAAAAACGACAAGTAGGAACCGCATCGACCCAGGCTCCTGCGCAGCACTCAGCCAACAAAGACACAGTTTACAGATGGGAGAGCATCTGTGACCCCATGTGCGATAAAGGGTCAGCAGTCCAACCCTGGAGGGAACTCATGTACTCAACAGTAAAAGGCTGGAGAGACCACGCAGCAGTTAGGAGCACTGGCTGCTCCCAGCACACAAATGGTGGCTAACGCTTGTCTGTAACTCCAGTTCCAGATCCAATGCCCTCTCCTGGCCTCTGAGAGCTTTGCACACTCACAGTGTACAGGCGTACAAGCAGGCAAAACATACATATAAAACAAAATAAAATGGAGCAGACACCTGCCCCCAACAATTCAGTGATGAAAAGGAAAACACCACAGCCTCTTCACACAGGGCTTCAATTTCATTCATCTGCAGTCAGCGACAGCCTGGGCTATGGTAAATGGAAGGGTTAAGAAAGAATCGGTGTGCAAGCCTGGCATGGTGAAATCTCCATCCTGCCTGGGTGTGAGCCTTCCCTCTGCGCAGACTGCACACGCTGTGGTCACGGTTACCAGGCAGGCTGTGTGGAACCACAGTGTTTCTGCTCAAGTGACCATGTTAGTGATGGGACAGGAAAGACCACGAATGGGGGTGAGGCTAGCAATTGAGATAAAGAATAGTTATAAAGTCCTTCCCGTAAGTGAGAAAGGAAAAGGTTTTTGCTTACAGAGGAAAGAAATAAAAGTTGTGTGCTGATTATGGTTGCTAAGATCTATAGGAAAATTGAACCATTCGCAAGAGTGCAGAGAAAATGGAGTTCTTGTAGCCTTGGGATGAATAGAAAACAGCAGAGTTACAGAAAGGTATGGGGATCCTTAAAAATGGGGGGGGAATGGGACAGGACACAGACTCAGCTGCCCATTAGGAATTACATCAGCCCCTTGCAGAGCTACCTTTGCTCCAACAGTCACTGAAGCAATACCTGCAGTAGCCAGGCTGTAGAATCAACCCAAGAGTTTGCCACACAGGACCGGGTGAAGAAACTGTGGAACGAACACACACACACACACACACACACACACACACACACACACACACACACACACACACACACACACACTCTGTGGGATTATTTACATGACACTATGGCACAGTTAAACAATCCCAGGCCCAGAAGGCCAAGAACCAGCATCTCAGACATCTGTAGAATCTTAAACACTCCTGAGTGTGTGGGAACAGAGAGCTGTGACCCCTAAGGATGGGGGAGAGGGGAGGGATGTAGATGCCATGGAGAGGGGATACAGGGATGTAGACAGTGCAGCTTCCAGAATAAGTCATGGGCTCTTATACATGGCCTGCGGCGATTGCCAATGTTGTATTATATATTGGAAGTTTGCCAAGACATTTTAGATGCTCCCAGAAAACATTTGTGAGCGAGCTCCCGTGTACATACATACACACACACACACACCGTGTGAGGAGACAGCTTGTTAATTTCTAACTGCAGCAATTACTGTCTTATGTACATCAAAACATGCTGGAAAGCTTAAATAGAGATGGGGAGGGGGGTTAAGACAGAGTCTCACTATGTAGTTATGGGTGTTCTGTAACTCACTCTGTAGACCAGGCTGGCCTCAAACTCACAGAGATCCACCTGGCTCTGTCTCTCAAGTGCCAGGATTGAAGGCATACATCACCCTACCCTGAGGACTTCTGACTAATGCAGACTACAGCAGTGTGGCCTGGTACCCAAGAGAAGTCTTCTAGAGGCTTTGGCATGGACAAATTTAGTACTCACAAACTTACAAATAAGCAAAAAACTAACCAAACAAACAAACAAACAAAAAAAAAAGAAAACTACCTTAATTCAAAGACATTAGAAGGGCAACACCTCTGAAAACAACTGCTTAGCAATAATGACAGACCTGGAAGAGGGCAATGGGCAGTGAGTGTCCTCTGCTGCTGGGCTCAGGTGTCACCCAGAAGCTGAGAGACGCACGCCAAGGGAGGCTGGCGGCACAGAGCAGACCTGTATCTTTTTAGTTCAGAGCTGACATGAACATCCTTGGGGGGAGGGGCTGTACTATGTATGTGTGTGCATGTGCACAACTGTGTGTGGGTGGCATACATACATGGAAACCAGAGAACGGCCTTGGATGTTGTTCCTCAGGAAGGCCGTCCTCTTTTCTTTTTTACATTTTATTTCATGTAAATGTGCATTGTGCGCATGCAGTGTCCACAGTGGCCAGCGGAGGGCGTCATATCCCTTGGAACTGAAGTAGAGAAACTGTGAGGCCCCGTGTGGGTGCTGGGGAATGAACCCTGGTCCTCTGCAAGAGCAACAAGTGCTTTTACACGCTGAGCCACCTCTCCAGCCCTGACCGTGGTTTTGAGACGGGACCTCTCCATGGCCTGGAAGTCACCAAGCCCCAGCTGGGGTCCTGTCTGTTTCCATCCCAGTGTCACAGAGCCTGGCAGTGTTTCCATAGGTCATGGGGATCAAACTCAGATCTTCTGCCAACGCAGCTGCCTTCTGTTTCAAATATCCTTTTCCCCTTCCAAGACAGAGTTTCTCTGTGTACCCTTGGCTGTCCTAGTACTCACTTTGTAAGCCAGGGAGGCCTTAAACTCACAGAGGCCTGTCTCTGCCTCCCAAGTGCTGGGATTAAAGGCGTGCACCACCACCGCCCTGGCCGGTGAAATATCCTTTCTTATATTTTTGGTTGTGAGCCTAGCCTTTAACGGCTGAGCCATCTCTCCAGCCCCCCCACCCATTTTTTTGGTTTTACGAGACAGGGTTTCTCTGTATTGTTTCGGAGGCTATCGGTCCAGCCCGGCCTAGAACTCACAGAGATCCGCCTGCCTCTGCCTCCCGAGTGCTGGGATTAAAGGCGTGTGCCACCACCGCCCGGCTGAAATATCCTTTCTTAACCATTGAATTGCTTCTCCTTTGATACATCTCTCCCTGCTTAAAGCGCAGAGGTAAGAGTTGGATGCAGAGCCTCCAGACCCAGCGCACAGGCCTTGGCATTTCCTAGATGACAGGGTATCTTCTGTTCCAGGAGACTCATGGTGACTCTAGGATTGAGCTCACCTCAAGAAAACAAAGCCATGAACGACGGGATGCTCAGAGCCTTCATCCCATCTCACCCTCTGTGAAGAGGAAGCTGCTGGAGATGAAGTTTCTACAAACCTCTTGGGTCACAGGGTTCTAACAATGCAGTGCTGGGGGGTGGTAAGACAGGAGAGGGCCTGGTTCCACCCTCCCCCACGCCTCCCGTGTACTGCACCTGGCTGCTCGTTGGCATCCCTTAATTTACTCTTTGTAATACATTGGTAACGGTGAGTCACGTGATACCCTGAGTTCTCTACACTGTTCTAGCAAATTCATGGAACCCAGGGAGGTAACGATGGGAGGCATCACCAACAACATCCTGGGAGGCGCCCATTGTTCCAGAAGATGGCGTTGGTGCTGAGGAGACTCTGGGCTTCCTGCCATTCAGTTTCCTGTAAGTGGCCTCACCTGGTCCTTGATAGGCCTGTGGGTGGCCGAAGGCAGTGTCCCAGTTGTTAGCGCTGTTTCTCTGAGCGCCAGCCCCATCTGTCCTGGTGCCCCAAGCATCTGTGCTGTCCCAGTTCCCAGATTTGGGGGCATTCCAGGCTGACCAAGGGTCATTGCCACCACCAACCTGTGTGGGAGAGGAAAAGGAGAAAGAGTATTGTGACATCTAGGAACTGTGACTCCATTAGCAACAGGCTGCAGGCAGCTGAGAACAACAGAAGTGCTGACAGAATCGGTGGAAATGCATTTAAACGTCTACGCCCCCAGCCCAAGTGGAAACCCAGACAGCGAGCGGAGCAGCATCCGCCGGCTCTCCCCGGTGAGAACACTGTCTTTCGTCCGCTAGATGCCATTATACCTGCTACTGCTGAGGCCGTTTTCCATTGCCCTTAACTGCTTCTAAGCAGGTACTTTAAAGAAGGCTTTAATTCTCATTTTAAAAGTAATAGACACACATTAAAAAATTCAAGTGGAAAGAACAGTAAGCAGTTGAACAGACACAGGCCTGCCACTTTAGAATGTCCACCGGAAGTACGGCACTCGTACTCCCTCCTTGTTCCGTAACTCAGTGATTACGTCTGACCTCTCTACCTAACCCCTACCCCAACTAAACTAAGCCCTGTTCAACACCCAGGAGCAACAATTCAACATAGCTGCCTGTCTGAAATTTTACATCTAAAAGCTATTAAAACCTGGTAAAGCACAGTGTGTGTGTGTGTGTGTGTGTGTGTGTGTGCGTGCGTGCGTGCGCGCGCTGCCTAACAGGTTCCAAGCTATCTCCTGAAAGAACTTAAGCATTGCCTTCAGTGTCTGAGGAAACGAGCCTGCATCTGACTGTCACACCAGAAGGACCTGAGAGCGAACTTGGGGCGGCCACAGAGGCAGCAGTGCTGGCTCTCCACGCATCTGTAACCTCAGGGAGTCACGCTCATGACAGATGCAGTCAATGTGTTTAATAAGCTACTTTCTGAGACATACGCCCAGGTGACCGTGCTACGGCACAGCATGCTTATATAAACCTAGGTAGACAGCTACTGTCCACCATGGCTGTACGGGATACATACGTGCTATGGCCTACACTCCCAGGGTCACAATAACAAAAATGCACGAGACTGAATCAGTCAGAGCACACCCGGCCTGTCAGACACCACTGCAGGAGTGACACTGCAGAGGGTTTCATAGTGAACTTTTGTTCAAGGAGACTAAAACAATGGGCTCTGAAGTGTGAATTGTAAACCAGCAAACAGTGCTTCATCACTGCTGTTCTAAGCATACCCGAATGCACACTTTTACACAATGGGCAGCAGTAGGCTAGCAGTCAGTACAACACTCCCCCCCAGCACACACACAAGCGAGCATTCTGTTAGGCTAGTGATGATATCACCAACAGGATGTTCAGCTCCATCAGAATCTTATGCGGGTCACTCATATATAGAGCCCATCACTGACCCAAACATGGGCTACTCAGTACTCAACTTCACAGATTGTGTGAAAGGCCAGAATATGGGTCAGCTAGCCAGAGAGACAAGTAAGTTTCCCTTGGGCAGTGACTGAGAACTCGGGCTCTGATGTTTATTTAGGCTTGAGCCCAGTTTTCCTACTTACTAGCTACTTATATACGAGCACTCCACCCTTCTTGGCTCCTACACTTTAACAAGGGGACTTGGAACCCTAACTTCCTCCTGAGGCTTTGGTGAGTGTGAACTGACAAACCAGGGATTTGGAAGAGTGATCTTTGTATGTGGGGGTTCACCTCAGACATAAAGAAGCAGCACTTGGCGAGGCAGGAAGTCTCTGGAGGCTGCCTGGGCTACAGAGCGAGACCCTGGCCCAAAATAAAACACAAAGAAAAGAAGGAGGCCGGCAGTTCACTGAGCAATACACCTCTTTCTTTATGCTAAAAGGACACGGCCATGGCTACATTTCCAAACAGTTTAAGTGCTGGGTCACATTACTGGAGACATTTTTAAGTAAAGAGATGAAACTATCCAAAGGTCCGCTTCCTTCAGATGCCCTAAGGAGGAAGAAGGCAGAGGTGAAGCTCACGGTAACATCCAACTCCAGGGCTTTGGTAGAAACTTTCTAGGCCCTAAAGGCCAAGAGCTTGGCGCTTTCAAATTCTGATGCCAGGGTAACAAGCTAGGGTATGATGGTCTCTCTTAAAGATCCTTCGTCTTAAAGCCACAGGCTCAGTCATACACTAACCCACCCCGTTTCCTCAGCTAAGGGTCCGCTTCCCTAGACTCTTGTCCCCCTCTCCCTCTTCAGCCAATCCACCGAGCAACACCTTCAGCCTTTTCTGTTCTGCTCCTTTCTGGTCCCAGGATTTACTGTCACTCACAGAACCAAGCCCTACGCCAGGGCTGAGTGCTGGGGCAAATACTCCGCTCCGGCCGCGTAGACGGCTCAGCTGGCAGCTGTAGGCCCTGACTCTTTCCACATCTGTAGGCCCTGACTCTTTCCACATCTGTAGGCCCTGACTCTTTCCACCACATCTGTAGGCCCTGACTCTTTCCACCACATCTGGCCGACCAAGCCCCAGAAGAGCTTCCTCAAGTTACCGCATATGAAAAGAATACCTGTCAGGGTTGTCAAATGAGTGTTTCTTCATGTAGTTACTCACATCTCAAATTTACCTTATTTATGGAAGAAGGAGAAGGAGAAGAAGGGGGTGACTGGCTGAGAGTTTCAACACAGCCAATCTGAGCCAAAAGAGTCACCTTAAAATAAAAAGGTTCTCAGTGAGAGGGGACAACATACAGCAAAGCTGTAAACAAAACTGGCAAACTCAAAACCTGAGCCTAGCAAGCCACCCACCCACAAACAACACACAGAAGCCCAACGCCATGGTCGTGTGCTGCATCTTCCCAAGCCCGTACAATCAGCACCACTGAAGAACTAACGTAACCACAAGCTGCACTTGAGGAGGGCAAAGGCCATGCGTGTCACACAGCTGGCAAGACAGACCCAGGAAAACACACAGCTGAGAGTTCCCAGAGGCACCGGTGCTCAGCATGGAGTGAGCTCTGGTAAGATTCCTATGGTGTTAGGCTCCACTCGTGTGAAATGAATGACATCATTCTCACTTCACAGGTGCAGATGCAAGCACATTCTGGAAGTCAAGGCACAGAAAAGGTGACCAAGTAGGACCAGGGGATCCACCCAGTTCACATTTTCACTCATGCTGAAAAACGATGACATAAAGGAAATCTTTCAAATCATCAGGTACTGTGGGACAGTGATCCTGGGAAACAAGACGAGACCTACAAACGCCCCATTCCCTGTCAGCATCCTGCAGAGCCCAGTGGTCTGTGACTCGTACAGGTGGAGCCTGGGATCAGTGGGTCGTGAGAGAATGAGCACGAGCTAAACCCAGGAAGCTGTGGGTTACAGGTGTCCTAGGTCTAAAGTTGACACCTAATAAATTTTCCACGAGGAACCTCTGTAAACCAGAGAAGGCCCACGAGAGGAAAGTCAGAGCACAGTGCTTACACGGACAGTTTCCGCCAGCACAGCAGATCACCTCAGAGTGCACAGTGCACGACTACCAGAGTTCCCAGGGCAAACATATCCCTCAGTGAAATAAACATGCCTCTGTCACACTGAGTGAAGCTTAAAACTAACAAAATGGACATTTTAAAATAACTTACATATATCATAAGGTTCAAAATACTAATGAGGGCACAAAATATTCAGCATTGTAAACTACCAGGAATGAAAAGGCAGGGAAATATAACCCATATCAAAGAGCACCCCCCCCCAACCGAAGCTGAGTCAGCCAAGTCTGCTCCATGTAGAGAGCAAGCTGAAAGGGCTCTCACCAGGAGACCCCACAGACACAGAGCACAGCAGAGCTCCGGGGGGTTAAACACACTGAGCCAGAATGAGTCCTCAGGCCCAAAATGCTATGCAGAAGAAAAAAGGAAAACCATTAGCTACTATCTGAAGCAGCTATAAAACAACCTAGCTTGAAAGATCTGCATTGATCCTGAACTCTAACAGGGTAGTCAGCTAGCTCCAGCAGATGACGATGTGGATGGAAACACGCCAGCCCACATGTGCAGAGGAAAAACAGTGGCAATCAGGCAATGTTAGCAACCAGCAGCAGGCTACTAGGAGAACATTGAGCAGTGTCAAACCCACTCCAAGCAGAATTCTTTCTGGCCATAAGCAGAAAATGCAATACAATGGAGGAGACTGTTTCCCAGATAACCCAGCTATCATCTGGTCTCAACACTGGACTGACCAGGCACTGTGGTTTTGATGTGATGTAACATGAAACATAGCATATCATGTATGATGCAGGCTCGCACAGAACGTCTGGGCTGAGCCAATTCAGTCCATAAGTTCCCATGGTCACTCAGGGACAACGGTGTAACACACGGTTCTGACTGGGCATGAGGCCTTCTCTAACGGCAACTGCCGGCTACACCGTGATGAGCTCTTGCTATCTTGTTGCATCTTGCTTCCCATGGACACCCTTGGGGAAAGTAGAGCAGTAGGAAGCAGGCATCTAACAACGCGGTGTACAGTCCGAGCAGGGCAGGTGCCTGCCGGGAGAACCTGCAGAGCTGACTCATGCCGAGTTCTACATGTTTAGATGACGCCTCTCATACAGACACAGGAGGATGGGGCATGGCCACCATGGCTTTTCATGTCTGTCTGAGCTGGGTCAGACTCTGGAAGTGGACTATGACTGAGACCTACTTCCGCTGAGGTGGCTTCTGCTGGGCATTTCAACCCAACTAGCAAACTAGTCTAGAAAGGAGACACTGACGTGTGGGGCGCCCACGAGTGGCTGTATCTCCCACGGCACTGCTCCTTCCACACACTAGTTGATCACTAGTTGGCAAGTCCACTGAGAAGCCACCCTGCCGCAGACAAGCACAGTTGGTGCTACTGTCTTGAAGGAGAGGCACTGTGTGCATTCAAGGCCCCATCTCGTTACACACGTGGAGGGCTCCCAGGGCTCGACTTGTACACTGTGTCCTGCTGCCGCTTGGCCTCGCCTGCTGGACTGACCAGACAGCTCCACCTGATATACAGGCTCCTGCTAAGAAGGAAGGAACCCACGGAGGGTGAACACGGAAACTTGCAGAGCAGGACTTCCTGGCCGGTGAAACTGAGGGCAAAGTTAGCACTGATTGTTCACAACAGGGGGCTGTTTAGAGGAGGTTTTTTTCTCTGCGGCTCACTCACATGGCTAAGATAGTATCAGACATTTCTCACTGATTAAACATTCAGGCACTGTGTGCCCACTAAACCAGAAAGTGAACTAGGAAGCAAGTAATATGCTATCACTGGACCCCGTGGGGAGGGCATTTTGATTAGAATAACTGAAGATTTAATTGTTTCTCTCAAAGAGGCCAGAGGATACAAAGTTCTCTCAGGTGAAAACCTAGCCATTTCAACTCCAAACACCAAAGGACCTGTACATTTCCCAATTTGTTATTCAGAGAGCTTGACCTCAGTCCTGTACATGATCTCTGGTGGCGTTAGGAACCACTAATAGAAATATAAAACATATGTGCACTTTCTATCTCTTACTTTTTTGTTTTGTTTTTGAGATGGTTTACACTAATAGAAATATAAAACATACAATATATATACTTTTTCTTATTTTTTGTTTGTTTTTTGAGACAGAATCTTAACTATGTAGCCCTTGCTGGCCTAGAACTTGCTATGTTGACCAGGCTGGCCTTGAACTCACAGAGATCCGCCTTACTCTGCCTCCCAAATGCTGGGATTAAAGGTGTACTTCAGTGTCAGTCTCCTTCCTTCTTTACAGGCCCTCATTTTGGGGAGTATTTGGTTTTCGTGTGTGTGGGGGGGGAGGGGTCTGTATTCATATCCTGATAATCTCAAAAACAAATTTTAACAAATTTCATTTTATTATTGTTAGTCTTGCGGTCTTTTCCAGGCATCTCAGATGAGGTCTGTGTTAATACCTAGCAGGAATGCCATTCTCCCCTCATGCCACACCCCCCGTCATACCCTCAACCCTCATGCTGCCCCCCCCACGTCACCCCTCACACCACACCACACCCACAATGCACATGCCCCTGACACCGCACCCCTCACAGTCGCTTTGACAATGCTTTCAGGGAGCAATGACAGCAATACTGTACCACAAACTTCCACCCCGGCTTTGCTCTCAGGAAAGGCAGCCTAGGCCACGGGAGGAGAGGGTACCTGGTTATTGCTGTTGGCAGAAGACGAGTTGGCTTGAGCAGTGCTTGCCGAGAGGGAATCGAGGAAAGCTTGGTCCGCCACGGAATTTCCACAAGAAAACTGATCTTTTCCGTCACCGGGTAAAATCTGAGTGTGAGAAAGAACCCATTCCTTCAGTGGCTGCTTTGGGTGGGTACCAAGCGATCACAGCGGGGCACTGGGGCACTCGCGGCCTCAGTGCCGTAGACCTCCCTCAATCCCTCAAAGCACCGCTGCTGCTGCACTCTGCACTGCTGCTAAGTTGCATTTTCATTTATACTTACTTTAAACATTTTCTTCTTTGACTCATGTGTAAATTAAATTGTTTAAATTTCAGGTACTTTGGTATTTTCCAGCAGTCCTTCTGTTATTTATTTGGAGGTAAATTTCACTATAGTCTAAGAGGCACTCTGTGATTGATCGACCTATGTGCACATGCATGTGCACACACACACGCACACACACACACACACGTGCATTCGCGCATGCACGCGCGCGCGCGCACACACTGTCTCTCTCTGTCTCTCTGCCGGGTGGCTGTACTAGGGACCAAACCCAGCGAAGACAGTGTGGCACTAAGCTGTGTCCCAGCTCTCTCCTTTGTGCGCTTTATAGTTCAGAACATGGCTCGTGGACATCCACCATATCCCACTGATGGACAGCCCTGTTGGTTCAACCACGTTCTGACTAATTTTAGCCTGTTGGATATGAAAGACAAAGAAGCTGAAACTACTCCTCTTTAGAAGCAAACAGAAGTCTGTAAATAAAGTGGATATCAGTATCAGCCTAAATCCTCTGCTTGTCCAGTGTAGGGCCTTACACGTGCAGAGCATACAGCCAGTGCAGGACCTGAAACTTGGACTTTCAGACTGGGAGCAGGGCCTACGAGTAGATGGCTGTGTGTGTGTGTGTGTGTGTGTGTGTGTGTGTGTGTGTGTGTGTGTGTGTGTGTGTGTGTGCAAACACACATTTCTGAGGGGGAAAAGCTACTGATTTCCCAGAGAGTTTAAGACTCCCGCCTCTCACTTTGACAGCCCCTCTCTCTGTGCTGCGGTCAGGCCCCAGGGAAGCACCCTTCGGGCAGTTCTCCTCTACACTGGGGAGCCCTGTCCTGCTCCAGTCTCACTCACAGGTCCACCAGGAAGCCTCGGGTCTGTCACTCAAGATGACTGGCAAGTGCTCTGGGACGGGACCTACAGGCAGCCAGCAGGGGGCGCCAGGGAGCTGACTGTCTCCTCTGCAGGGTCACCTGCGGCCACCAGGATCTATCCTTTACTGTAGCAGGGCCACCCATTAGAGACACCCTTGTGTCTATGGAGACAGCTGAAGGAGGTGCGAAGCCCGCCCCTCTAAAGAATCCATTTAAACTTTGTCCGTTAATCTACCACAAGCTCTGGGCAGCAGGTACATCAGCAAAAGAAAAATGGGGATTTTCATTCAGTAAAATTAAAAGCTGTTATTCTTGGAAGGAAGTTAATCTAAACACCTTTGTAGCTTAGGACTGTAGGTTATCCTTATTTAACACACTTTCTGTGTTTTATTTAACTATTACTTACCACATTTCCAAAGAAACTTTACTTTTAAAATGGTTGCTATCTTCCCATTTAACAGCCATTTAACTCAGCGACTGATAAAAGGTGCCCAGCACGGCCAGCTTTAGTTAACCAATGGCGGTCCGCTTTAGCTAAGCAATGGCGGCCAGCTTTAGTTAACCAATGGCGGTCCGCTTTAGTTAACCAATGGCGGCCAGCTTTAGTTAACCAATGGCGGTCCGCTTTAGCTAAGCAATGGCGGCCAGCTTTAGTTAACCAATGGCGGTCCGCTTTAGCTAACCAATGGCGGCCAGCTTTAGCTAACCAATGGCGGTCCGCTTTAGCTAAGCAATGGCGGTCCGCTTTAGCTAAGCAATGGCAGTCCGCTTTAGTTAACCAATGGCGGCCAGCTTTAGCTAACCAATGGCGGTCCGCTTTAGCTAACCAATGGCGGCCAGCTTTAGCTAACCAATGGCGGCCAGCTTTAGCTAACCAATGGCGGCCAGCTTTAGCTAACCAATGGCGGTCCGCTTTAGCTAAGCAATGGCGGCCAGCTTTAGCTAACCAATGGCGGCCAGCTTTAGCTAACCAATGGCGGTCCGCTTTAGCTAAGCAATGGCGGCCAGCTTTAGCTAAGCAATGGCGGTCCGCTTTAGCTAAGCAATGGCGGCCAGCTTTAGCTAAGCAATGGCGGCCAGCTTTAGCTAACCAATGGCGGCCAGCTTTAGCTAAGCAATGGCGGTCCGCTTTAGCTAAGCAATGGCGGCCAGCTTTAGTTAACCAATGGCGGTCCGCTTTAGTTAACCAATGGCGGCCAGCTTTAGCTAAGCAATGGCGGTCCGCTTTAGCTAAGCAATGGCAGTCCGCTTTAGTTAACCAATGGCGGCCAGCTTTAGCTAACCAATGGCGGTCCGCTTTAGCTAACCAATGGCGGCCAGCTTTAGCTAACCAATGGCGGCCAGCTTTAGCTAACCAATGGCGGCCAGCTTTAGCTAACCAATGGCGGTCCGCTTTAGTTAACCAATGGCGGCCAGCTTTAGCTAAGCAATGGCGGTCCGCTTTAGCTAAGCAATGGCAGTCCGCTTTAGTTAACCAATGGCGGCCAGCTTTAGCTAACCAATGGCGGCCAGCTTTAGCTAACCAATGGCGGCCAGCTTTAGCTAACCAATGGCGGCCAGCTTTAGCTAACCAATGGCGGTCCGCTTTAGCTAAGCAATGGCGGCCAGCTTTAGTTAACCAATGGCGGTCCGCTTTAGTTAACCAATGGCGGCCAGCTTTAGCTAAGCAATGGCGGTCCGCTTTAGCTAAGCAATGGCAGTCCGCTTTAGTTAACCAATGGCGGCCAGCTTTAGCTAACCAATGGCGGTCCGCTTTAGCTAACCAATGGCGGCCAGCTTTAGCTAACCAATGGCGGCCAGCTTTAGCTAACCAATGGCGGCCAGCTTTAGCTAACCAATGGCGGTCCGCTTTAGCTAAGCAATGGCGGCCAGCTTTAGCTAACCAATGGCGGCCAGCTTTAGCTAACCAATGGCGGTCCGCTTTAGCTAAGCAATGGCGGCCAGCTTTAGCTAAGCAATGGCGGTCCGCTTTAGCTAAGCAATGGCGGCCAGCTTTAGCTAAGCAATGGCGGCCAGCTTTAGCTAACCAATGGCGGCCAGCTTTAGCTAAGCAATGGCGGTCCGCTCTCACCTCCACATAGTCTGTAGGAACAAGCCCTTGCTCTCCCTTGTTGTTTCTTCCTTCCAGCCATCCACCACCAACATTCTAACAGGAAAGGAAAAAAAAGCTACAGTTAGTTATAAATATATAATTTTTACATGAAGATGACAAGTATTTTATGACTATAGAGCTAATACTGTTCAAAATTTTACTCTTAAATCTTGTTTATTATAGGAAATAATGTAATCTAACAAGACAAACAGCCTCAAGAAGTGACTGAATACTTGTTTCCTTTGTGCAAGTGTGTACATAGACACACTTGGGGATCAGAGGTCAACCTTGGATGTTACTCCTTGGGCACTATCTACCTTCTTTAAAAAAACAAGCTAGAGATAGTTCACTGGTTAAGAGCACTGACCACTCTGACCACTCTTCCAAAGGACCCTAGTTCAATTCCCAGTAGCAACAAGGCAGTTCACAACTGTCTGTAAATACTGTTCCAGGGGTATGGCATCCTCTTCCAGGCACACATGCAGGCAAAACCCTGTACATCAAAGATAGATGATAGATGATAGATGATAGATAGATAGATAGATAGATAGATAGATAGATAGATAGATAGACAGACAGACAGACAGAAGTGTGTGTGTGTGTGTTTAGTTACTGCGCACACATGTGTGTACTGTGTGTACATGTGAAGACACCTTTCAGGAGTAGGTTCTCTCCTATCTTGTGAGTGCTGAGGTCGTCAACTCAGGCCACTGGGCTTGGTGGCAAGCACCTTTATCCGCTGAACCATCTCCCTGGCCTGGAGCTCATCAAACAGGGTGGGCTGGCTAGTCAAACAGGCCCGAGAACCCACCTGTTTTCACCCACCCCTATGGTGGCCACCGAGGGGCTCGTGCGGGATTGAACCCAGGTCCCTCTGCTTGAAAGGCTATTGTTTTACCAACAGACCTACCTCACCATTCTTGACTATATTTTCTTTAACAAGATATTCCAGAGATTAAAACTAGGAAAGGTGACATAAAAAAAAGATGGCCATAGAAAACATCATCTTGTAAACTAATTTATCATAAGGTTGAGTATATTCAATACTGTTTGATGACAATATTCTAGGAGATTTTTCAAGTTAAAAGAAAATTTTAAATCAGCAATGAGGCTAGTGGGATATTTGATAATGTTGGGCAACTACTGATTTTATTAAATGGCTGGAATGATATTGCCTTCTGTCTGAAAACCAAATCTATTTCTATTTGTTAGAAACACGTATTAAAGGTGGAGAGATGGTTCAGTGGCTAAGAGCATGTGCTGCTCTTAGGGAGGACCTGAGTTCGGGCCCCAGCACTCACATGGGTGGTTCACGATTTGCGTGACTCCAGCTCCAGAGGATCTGATGTCTGCTTATGGACTCCACTGCCATCTGCTGTGCTCGTGTCCATAGGGATCCACAGACACACACGCTCACACACATTAAGAAGTAAAATAAAATTTAAAAGCACGTATAAATTCTTTCTTTTCACTTTTACGTGTACACATTTGTATGTACAGCTCTATAGATGCTTGTGTAGGAGTGGGCGAATGAACACCTGTTCCTCAGGCACTGTCTACTTGTTTTTTTAAGACAGGATCTCCCTCTCTCACTGAGGTAGAGTTCACCAAGTAGGCTGGCGAGCCAGAGCACCCCAGAAACCGTTCTTTACACCTGCTCAGTGCTGGGGTCACAGCCATCTCCTGGCTGAGCTAGTGCCTCAGCCCCGTTTTGCATTTGAGGGAGGGTCACAGTCAGTATGCATCACAGCCTGTGGCTGTCGGGTTGGCCTCAAACATTTGACCCAAGTGATGTTCCTGCCTAGCTCCCGAAACATCGGGGACAACAAGTGTGTGTCACAAAAGCTAGTTAAAAGTCTCTATGGGTGAAATGATGCAATGGCATCTAGTTCAGATGGGTCAGCTGGATGGCGGGAGAGGAAATGGAGAAGCTGCGTCACAGATGACGTGAGATGCGTCGTGGCCTGGTTGATGCTTACTGACGCTGGACAGCAGCAGGAAGAGACAAAGATGTATAAATGTATTCCCTCTCAAAAATTTAAAGTTGAGGCCAGGCGTTGGTGGTGCACACCTTTAATCCCAGCACTCAGGAAGCAGAGGCAGGTGGATCTCTGTGAGTTCAAAGTCAGCCTGGTGTACAAAGTTACACAGAGAAACCCTGTCTCGAAAAAAAATCAACATTTTAAGGGTACTAGAGACACAGCTTAGCAGTTGGGCACACTGGCTGCTCTTCCAGAGAACCCAGGTTCAATTCTCACCACCCACAAAAGGCGCAGTAGAAACCAGAAGAAGCAGAGCTGCACCATGGCTGAGAGGACAGACACAGCATGCTTTACTGCACGTGGTCCTGAGAGCGTGAACGCTCTGTTATGTCTGTCAGTATCTGTGATGCCGTGCGTGGTCCTGAGAGCGTGAACGCTCTGTTATGTCTGTCAGTATCTGTGATGCCGTGCGTGGTCCTGAGAGCGTGAACGCTCTGTTATGTCTGTCAGAGTATCTGTGATGCCGTGCGTGGTCCTGAGAGCGTGAATGCTCTGTTATGTCTGTCAGTATCTGCGATGCCGTGCGTGGTCCTGAGAGCGTGAATGCTCTGTGTATGTCTGTCAGTATCTGCGATGCCGTGCGTGGTCCTGAAAGTGTGAACGCTCTGTTATGTCTGTCAGAGTATCTGTGATGCCGTGCGTGGTCCTGAGAGCGTGAACGCTCTGTGTATGTCTGTCAGAGTATCTGTGATGCCGTGCGTGGTCCTGAGAGCGTGAACGCTCTGTGTATGTCTGTCAGTATCTGTGATGCCGTGCGTGGTCCTGAAAGTGTGAACACTCTGTTATGTCTGTCAGAGTATCTGTGATGCCGTGCGTGGTCCTGAGAGCGTGAATGCTCTGTGTATGTCTGTCAGAGTATCTGTGATGCCGTGCGTATAAGAATGTGAGTGTATAGATTGTGTGTGCAAATGCTGAGTGTTGGAAAGGCTATCTTGTAAGAGCATGTGCACATGGGAAGGTATGTGTATTTGAAGTATGCATGCATATACTTCACAGTGATGTGGATAAACATGTATGTGGGTCTCTACACTTGTTCATGTGCTGCTGTGTAAACAGTGCGCAGGAATGGGGAAAATAAAACATGGTCTGATGGGAGGGCAGGGGAGGGGCCCTACAGATCCCCGGATGATCAGAAGCCACTGGGGGGGGTTGACAAGATTAAGCTGATCAGAAGCCACTTGTGGGGGTGACATGATTAACCTGGTGTTTCAGCCAGGCCACAGGCTTAAGAGACAGGCCAGGCAGGAAGGCACACGATCAGGCACGAACATAAGAGCTTAGAGCAGGGTGCTGACAGCCCAGGCGGAGACCAGATATAAACAAGACTTGGAGAGAGAAAAACCAAAGTCTTTCCATGATACAAGCTTGGAGGAATCTTGTCGGAATGACTAGACAGATACAGCAGCACTGAAAAAAATGAGGAGAATTCAGGAGGAGGACCGGGGCAGCGTGGTGGTAACAGGTAACTACCACGGACATGCTAAGTCTGAGACTCAGTGAGGAGCGTCCATGTGAGCTTGTGCAACCTGCTCAGGATGCACATACTATGGATTTAGCAAATGTGAGCCAAAAATATAATGATACAAGAATATTAATAAGCAAAAAGAGAACTCTGCTGATCCAACACATTCTCCTGTCTTAGATACAATCACTAGGCCATGATGGAATATTCAGGAAGAAAAACTGGGCAACAAACCTGACAAGTTGCCTAGTGCAAGAGGCACAGGTGACAGAGGGGACGCAGACACAGAAGCTGGTATGGATTTAGGGGCTGCAGTAGGGACCACCTTTAATCCCAGCACTAGGACTGGAGAGATGGCTCAGCCATTAAAGGCTAGGCTCACTACCAAAAAATAATCCCAGCACTCAGAGGCAGGAGGATCTCTGTGAGTTCAGGGCCAACCTGGTCTACAAGAGTTAGTTCCAGGACAGCCAAAGCTGTTACACAGAGAAACCCTGTCTTGAAAAACAAACAAAAAAGAATTAAACACAGTGAGGTGAAGCTGGTGGTGGTGGCTCACACCTTTAGTCCCAGCATTCGTGAGGCAGAGGCAGGTGGACCTCTATGAGTTCGAGGCCAGCCTGGTCTACAGGGTGAGTTCCAAAGACAGGCTCCAAAGCTACAGAGAAACCCTGTTTCAGAAAAAACAAACAAACAACAACAACAACAAATCCCTAAAAACATAGTGAGGTGACTACCACAGAGATAATGGATCGTGGACTATAATGATTTAAAATCAGAATTACATTTGCTTCGGAGCATTGTGGCAATGAAGATCACACAGGAAACTCAATGGATGATAAAGACTGCATTACATGAAAGGAAGCATGCCAACACTCCATCAGGAGAGCCTGAACAACAAGCACGTGTGGAACGGAGCATATGTGAAGATAAATGTGTGTGCACACAAGTTCAAAGCTGGTGTGTGAAGATGCCGCCACCCCGCTGGGAGCCAGCACACACCGCTTTTGGTAATCCAATTGCAGGATTAGATGGAGAACAGTGAGAGCAATCAGTAAACTAAGCGGTTTAGGCACGTCAGCACCGCTGCTTCCGGAGTCTATTAAGACACACAGCGTTGTGTAGTCTATTAAAGACACAGCATTGTGTAGTCTATTAAGACACACAGCATTGTGTAGTCTATTAAAAACACACAGCATCATCGTGAAAAAGAAAGCAAGGAACTGATTCCAGACACGACAAGGGCCTGATAGGTTATAAATGTAAGGGGGAAAAAGAAAACCAGGAAAACGAGGTACAATGAATCCGGTCATGTGCTCGGCCGCGTTTAGGGACTGAACTTCCCCCAGTGTACGCGAGCAACTTCTTATAGCGCCCCCAGTATTTCAGAAGCAGCAGCTACAACACTCATGTGAGCTGATGAACTTTTAAGAAGGGAGGTGTCAAATTACAAGACATCCATAGAGCGGTAAATACACTGAGCTCTTACCGGGTTTGTAATTGTGATGATCTCTCCTTCATTAACTGTCAGCTCATTGTTTCCAGGCTCAGCAGCAAAGTCATACATAACCCGAGCCTGCAGGGAGGGGACAGGAAAGGGGGAGTTAGAGACGCACGTCAAACACAAACCTCAACAACCTTCAGCGTGCCTGTAAGCACAATGGAGTGGGCAAACCCGGCAGTGACTGTGTCTGATCGGGAAGAAAGGGAGACAGTCTAGGACGCCTGTCTCCTCAGGAGCCCCGATAGCCACAGACCCTGCACACCATGCACGTAGAAACAAAAGGCCATGCTTTTTCGTTGGACAGTCGTAAGTAGACGCAGGTGTTTATAACAGGAACACCTGGGAACGGCGGTACTGCTCACAGGCATACACGCCATTCCAGGTTCCCACATAAGAGAAATCCTGCGGTCAAACACTCATCGGTCCAGGGGCTGGCCCCATGACGACTTTTGATAACATGGTATCTCTAACAATTTAACTTGGAAATCTGAGACTCACAGATAACAGACACTGACTCTCTCCCATACTGCCCACTGGCCCAATAGTTACACAGGGCTGCGTATACTAGCCAGGTTACCTAAACAGCTATGATTTCCAAATTCCAAAGCGGGTAACTCTCACAAGCATGAGGGTCAGAGTTTGGCTCCCCAGCACACACATGAATGCCTGCCAATTCTGACCTGCTCTTACTTCTAGCCCTCAGGGGGCAGAGATGGGCTCTTGGAGCAAGTGAAGTAGCTAGACTAGCCCAATCAGCAGGCTCTGGGCTCAGCTGAGACCCCGACTTAACCAACATGGTGAAGAGCAACGGAGGAAGACTTCTATGTCAGCTGTAGATCTCCAAATATACATGCATGCGCAGGTATGCATGCACACTTACATGCACACCCTTCACAGAAACATGCATACATGCATGAATGCATGAATGAATAGAAAAACAGAGTAAAGGCAGTTGTTCTATGGTGTAAGGAAGGCTGTTCTTTCGGCTTATTCTTCAGGTGGGGTCTAGAGACAGCAATGAAAAAGTGTGTTCCCTGAGGCACTGTCAGGAATGTTTCACCAGAAACATCATCTATGGTTATAAAAGTGTGTGTGTGTGTGTGTGTGTGTGTGTGTGTGTGTGTGTGTGTGTGTGTGCGCGCGTTGCTAGGATCAAAGCCAGGACACTGCACATGTTAGGAAATCACTCCACCATGAACTTTGTCCTTAATGCTGCACCTTTGTTGCTGCGTGGGACAGGGTCTCTCCCTGTAGCCCAGGATGGCGCGGATGGCACTGTGGCTGTCTTCCCACTTCAGCCACCACGCCCAGGTTCTGACCACTTTGCAGCTCGCAGTGTTTCATGGATTATCTCCCTCCGGAAGTGCATCTAAAAATCAGGTCACGCGTGCCTAGGGCAGTGTGTGCTTTAGAAGTGCCTACCTATGATGAAAAGGAAGCTCCGGTTTCCTGTATGGCTAGAGAGCGGGACACTGCGGTTGTGCTCACTTAAGCAGTCTTTAGACACCCGCCACACAGCAAGAGCCGGCCTCCCTCTCACTTCAATCATAGCCCTCTTAACAGACGAACGGTTCACAATTAGTGACAAAGATGGGGGCCCCACTATCTCAAAATACATGAAAAATGAGGCAAACTACCAAATGAACATGCCATAAACTGGGTATGTAAAAATGTTACAGTATTTAATGGTGCTTCGTGCTGTTTAATGGAAAATTGTTTCATATTTTTCTGCACACTTGAAATTTTTCCTAAAAACTACTGGAAATGGCAGTGTAGTTTGCCAGTCAGAAGTCCCATCAGCTTCCCCTGGGAGCAAAGAAAGGGCTGAGAAACAGCGGGACAAACACGGCCAGTCTACTCAGACCAGGACAAAGGACAAAGGAACCACGCGGAGGTATCCTCACACAGCTGCACGGTAGATAGAATTCTGCTTGTCATGTTGGGGACAGTTTTTGAAAACATGTCACATCATCCTCAGTCCTCCGCAATGGGGCAGGAGGAGATAAATGCCAGGGTGCCCTGCGGAAGGAAGTGAGCTTCCTCTGGGCGGGGTGGGGGGCAGTGTGCTGGCCAAGCTCTGGGCTGGAGCGCAGCCTGCTGCATTTTCCCAGTTCTGCTAGATCCACATCCAGAATCCGGAGGCCCCTTGTTCAGCAGGTATAACATGGTGAGCCAGAGAGTGAGACAGAGGTGGACGCCTCTCCATCCTTTAGACACTAGTGGACACGTCACACCAGGACGCCTCTCCATCCTTTAGACACTAGTGGACACGTCACACCAGGACGCCTCTCCATCCTTTAGACACTAGTGGACACGTCACACCAGGACGCCTCTCCATCCTTTAGACACTAGTGGACACGTCACACCAGGACGCCTCTCCATCCTTTAGACACTAGTGGACACGTCACACCAGGTGGTTATATTTTTTTGCCCCTCTCAAACTCACACAGAACTTAATCCCCAGGTCAACAGGCCTGTGAGAGGGGGCTCGCTCTGCCCAGCTCTTCTGCCATGTGAGTACCTCCCTGCTCAGGACAAAGTATTCAAGGTGCCACTTGGGATGCAGAGTGGGCCCTAACGTAGTCTGGAACTCTGACTTCCCAGCTTCCATAATGCTGGGAGAATGGACCCCATTCTTTGTAAGTTACCTGCCCTCCAGAGCTCTGCATTGCAGCAAAATTGGCGACTAAGACCCTCAGGAAAAGTGAGAAGCGGTGTGGACATGTTTAAAACACGCTTCAAAAATTAGAGATGTTTCTTAGAAAACAGGGTGGAGAATAATTTAGAAGAACAAAGAGATTTAATAGCACATTTTCCAAGCAAGCACAAACTGTCAGGAGGAAACACACTGCCCATTAAGCATGTGCAGGGAACCCTCATCACTGAAGACCCTGGGCGGCCTCATCATCTGCTGCTCTCCTCTTTCCTCTCCTAGTATTTGGCTCCTGCCTGTTTCTCTCCTTGTCACCTGTGTTTTTCCTCCTATCCATCAAGGACAACATCTACAGAGACACATACACACATGGCCTCAACTCCAGTGTCTACTTCTGCACACACATGGCCTCAACTCCAGTGTCTGCTTCTGAACACACATGGCCTCAACTCCAGTGTCTGCTTCTGCACACACATGGCCTCAACTCCAGTGTCTGCTTCTGCACACACATGGCCTCAACTCCAGTGTCTGCTCGCCCATGTCCTGTGTGGCTTGTGTTTTCTCATCACTGCCTCTTCCAATGTTACCTACATTCTAGAGCTGTGTTCCCACAAAGTTCCTGGTTAGCACAAAACTTCACACTATATATTCAATTCAGATTACTAACTTACAACCAATCCCCCCCCAATAGAAATGTCAAAACTCATGTATGAGGGAAATGGCTGGTAGACGTCAATCTTGGTACTAGTAAAACACACAATGACAGGGTCAAAGCTCGCAGATGCCCCAGATCCTGTGACACAAGAGTGCACAACACACCTGCTGTTGGCACACCACCAATCACCATAAAGACACTCTTCTGAGTGCCTGCCACCAATCACCATAAAGACACTCTTCTGAGTGCCTGCCACCAATCACTATAAAGACACTCTCTTAGCCAGACGTTGGTGGTGCACGCCTTTAATCTCAGCACTTGGGAGGCAGAGGCAGGTGGATCTCTGTGAGTTCGAGACCAGCCTGGTCTACCGAGCAGAGTTCCAGGACACACTCTTCTGAGTGCCTACACTGTGCATGTCTGCTCCATACCACTTTCTTTTGTTCCCCTGTGATTCTAAGTGACCATAAAAATCACTACACGCGGGGATGGCTCAGAGGTTAAGAGCACTGATTGCTCTTCCAGAGGCCCTGAGTTCAATTCCCAGCAACCACATGGTGGCTCACAGCCATCTATAATGAAATCTGGTGTTCTCTTCTGGCATGCAGACAGACATGGAGGCAGGATGTTGTATTGATAATAAATAAATAAATCTTTAAAAAAATCACTACATGCCTCAGTGGGAGAGCGCACTCAAGGCTCCGATTTGATTTGTAGGACCGCCCCCCACACACACGCAGGGAGGGAGGGAGGGAGGGAGGGAGGGAGGGAGGGAGGGAGGGAGGGAGGGATTACTAACTTTAATGCAAGACAAGTTATAGAAACTCTGCCCGGGTGGTGGTGGCGCACGCCTTTAATCCCAGCACTCGGGAGGCAGAGGCAGGCGGATCTCTGTGCGTTCGAGGCCAGGCTGGACCGACAGCCTCCGAAACAATACAGAGAAACCCTGTCTCGTAAAAAAACCAAAAAAAAAAAAAGAAAGAAAGAAAGAAAGAAAGAAACTCTGAAATGCAGGGCTGATGAGATGCCTTTGTGGCTAAAACTTGACACCCAGGTTGATGAGATGAATAAGATCCTTGGAACTCACCGTGGATGGAGAGAACTGACACACTCACATTATCCTCTGACCTCCACATACATGCATGGTGCACACACCTCCTCATCAATCAATCAAAGTTTGAAACATTTGCAATCTTATCAAAACTACAGAAAGTTTATATAATTCAAGAAATAGCAGCATAACAGGAAAATGGGCAGAGAAGCACATGGTTGAAGGAAAATAAAAACAACTGAACTACGGAAACTGCTCAATTTCTCACACACAAGACACTGGTTTGATAGATTTTGTCAGATTTTTCCTCTATCAGGGGACTTATCCTTTAAAGATCTACCAGTAACAGACAGAAAGATACAGAGGTATGTGTGCATGATAGTTATAGAGAGGGAGGGTGTGTGTGTGTGTGTGTGTGTGTGTGTGTGTGTGTGTGTGTGTGTGTGTGTGTGTGTGAGAGAGAGAGAGGTGTGTGTGACAGATATAGGTATATGTGTGTGTGTGTGCGCGTGCATGCGTGTGCACACATGTGCCTGTGTGTAATGGTTTAAAAAAATCACTCAATTTTTATATTTCTACTAATCTAGCAGGTGAAGAATGCTACACTCATATGGTTTAAATATTCAGTTACACTTTGCTATAGTTTGGATTTAAAATACCACTTTATTAAAGGTTCAAGGTTTGGAAGGGAGCAGACTTTTGAGGGGTGGGCT